TATATTACTATAGAAGTAATATGAGTATAATTCTTCTAAGGCCCCCTATACTCTAAGAGCAAGGCTCTTAGTAGGAGCACCTATATTACGTAACTCCTAGCCCTGTGATAGTTGCTACCTTCTAACGTAGACGTAGTTAGTCTTTAACCCCGTCACTCCGCGTTAAGGAGAGGATCCTTCTTATTACTTATAACATATACGCGTTTGCTAGTCTAATCTCGCTAGCCTTTAGTAAGCCTAGATAAATAACGTAATAGTTAGCGGGTATGCGATATACTAACCAGCCGCGCTAGCATCTACAAACGCCTAGAACATTGCTAATCTAACTTGAGATTGGTAGTAGTGTTAAGATCTTCGGAGCTATAGCACTGTTTAACCCTAGCTAACGCGTTTACAGAGCTATTTTATATAATTCAAGATAGAGTCTAACGCACAGCGATCTCCACTTTATAATATAAGCACATACTATTATAATGCTCTCTAGAACCCGATATTTTTCTCTCGACTAACTAAATAAAAGAACTCACTAAGCTCCACCGCGTCCTTATGCTTCTTGAGTCCACTAGCGCCGATTCCTATTGATTCGACTATAGGAACTATTCAGACGTGCAATTACGCAACGCCTATACCAACTAAAACCAAGAGTGTTATATTCATAATCACAATAACACCCCAGATTAGGATCCCAAAAACCGTAGTAACCCAACCATTCCTCATCTGAACGTGTCGTTCTCCCTCGCCTTCGGCCCCGGCTGGCCCATTATCATTGCGGATAGCAACTTTCATATACTTCCCCCGGCACGTAAACCAAATCAAGGGAGCGCTGACAAAAGGTAAGATAACGCTCAGCGCCACCTGAGAACCTTGTAGGGCTTGGCCAAGCCCTTTTCGGCCAACAGCACCAGCAATAACGATGCTGGGTATGATACTAACAGAACGGGTGATAAGGCGGCGTAGCCATGGTCTGAGTGACCAGTTGAGCTGGCCTTCTGAAACCATTTGACCGGCAATTGTGCAAATGATGCCAGCTGAAACACCAGACAGTAGCAAGGCTAATGCAAGCAAGGTACCGGCAACAGGTGCAATAGATTGAGAAAGAAGGTTATGAATCGAGAAGATGTCCGCGTTGTCAGCTTCGGGACGGCCGTAGAGAGATGCGCCAGCGACAATTAAGATGGAGCTGTTGACGAAAAGGGCAAAAGTAAAGAGGGAAACTGCTAGTTCGACAATGCTGTATGACATGCATGACTGAATGGCAGCCAAAGAGGGCCTGTATTTGATTCTGTCATTGATAGAGTCTGTCTCAAGTATTTCAGCTGTGCTGTTCATCTCATCAAATTTGCGTAGACGCGGTTGGACAATGCCACTTCCTAAGTAAAGACTGTGAGGCATGACAGTAGCCCCAAGGATACCACAAGACTGGTATAGACTTATAGCTGTTAGCAATAAATCAATCTAGCTGTTAAGCTCTCACTCACGCTTGTGACTGGACTAGGGTAGAAGAAGGCAGGTAGCCACGGAAGACCTCTCCAACAGAGGCTTTGATTTTGGTAAGCTCAAAGCAGAAACAGATGACGACGCCGAGGATTAAGAGTGCCACAAAGAACTCGAAGGCTCTTAGAGAATGCATTGTACCAGCAGGGCGGTAAAACATTAGAATGACGAGCACATCAACAATAGATATAGCGCAGCCCGCGACGAGAGGGATATTAAAGAGGAGATTAAGAGCAATAGCAGTGCCGATAACCTATTGCAGTTAGGGAGAAGGAAGTCTATTGAAAGAGTATAGGACATACCTCTGCAATATCGGTAGCAATGATTGCAGACTCTGCAAAGAAGTAAAGAATATAATTAAGCCACGACGGGAGATGAGCCTTGCAGTTCTCAGCAAGGTTCATTCCCGTAACGGAGCCTAGCTTAATGCATAAGGATTGGAGGAAGATCGCGAAAATGTTGGACATCAACACGATGAATAATAGTCTGAACCTAAAAGAAGCACCGGCAGCAACATCAGTCGCATAGTTTCCTGAAGCAAAGAATCAGCAGTAACCTAGAAGGCGATTGAAGAGCGAATGCCGGCTACAAGAAAACATCCCTACCAGGATCGATATATGCAACAGCGACCATAAAGCCAGGTCCAATGAATCTCGCATATTTGAGTAAGACCGCTGAAGCCCTTCTAGCGAACTCGCGAATTGCCATGTGCCAGTTCTTAGCTACAAGCGCGTTCACAGAGCTTATTCTGTGATCTCTTTGCAGTCTGGCGTTTGCTACATGGCTGAGGTTAGCCTCTGTCGTCGCGTCGGCATTGAGGTTATTGAGGTTCTGGTTCCAGCCCTCTGTGTAGATGGAATCGGCTTGCGAGGGACAGTTCATGGTGACGTGAGAGTTTCAGGCCACTCTGAATACAAAGATGTGCGAAAGAAGGTTCAAGGTTGAGGACAACTTTCTATTCGCAACCTTGGCGTGTTACTAAAATCGATGTCACTAGGGTTTCTTTCACAACGCACTGACCTTGTGTCTAATATGCCCCACCACCTCGAGGACGCGCGGCCTTACTAAACCTACCTTAAAAATGACGCCTTTAAGCTACACTAAAAGAATCTTATCTTAATACATAATATAGGGGGGAGGTAAATAGGCTTAAATATATATATATATTTACTAATTACTAAGTAAATAATATTTTGCTATATAAAGTGCTTAGTTACTTAGTAGTGCTAAGAGGTGCTAATATAGTAGTAAATAGGTAAGTGTAGAGTAGAGTAGAGTTGCTAAGATCTAGGTAGGTATAGGTGTAGAGTCTTATATAAGCAGCAACTCTACTCTATACTAACCTAAGTCTTGGTATTGTAGAGTAGTACCTATTCACTAGCGTAGGTACTTATTACCAAGTATCCTATAGAATACGCGATACGCTAGTCCTTAACAAGTATTTCTAATTGTTGCTATGTTTTCGCCCTCTTATATATTATTATAATTACTATATTAGAGCTACTATAGTAATAGATATGCTATATATTAAAATACTAGGTAGAAATTTTATTAAGCCTGATAATATTGTATTGGCTGAACTGTTACTCGCACTGACCACATCCAATATGCGTTCTGCGGGATAGGAAGCAAGCACTTGGCAGGTTTAGGAACGTAAGTACTGCTGCGACGTTAAGACAAACAGCCGCAAATGAAGCAACTGTAAACAGGAAAAGTGGCTTGAATGGGGTTTTGTGGGGCCCGGTGCTATCCCTACTGCCCCTAGGGCAAAACAAGAGTGGCTGTGGAGGCTTGGGGCGACGGTTGTAGGATTAGTGGTGCTCGAGCCTACTACTGCGACGTGGATAACTATGACACCGAGACACGTTCGTCAGACGAGTCGCAAAAATATCGCGATGCCATGGAGGCTTGGGTCAAGAGTACAACCTGTCCTCGGGGAACGGGGTCTCTCCAACAATGTTATCTCTTGGAACGAGGCCTTATCAGCTCCGAAGACAGATCCCACTTGCCCACTCGGTAGCAAACTCTCATTGGTGCTAATGGCATGAACAACGCTGAACGAGTCCTGGAGTTGCTGATGCCAATCCTCGCGGCCACATATCAGACGCCGACTGATATGAGTAAGGCTTATGGCAGTGCTTGGGACGACTTCATTAAAACCAAGCATCACTGACTGCAGACAGTGCCCATGAAGTTATTCCTTACTGACAAGTCTCGCTATCCTGCCTTTGACCTTGAGGGCCTAAAGATCACTGCAGAGCGCTTTGCTTGTTAGATCAATGTCACTGACGCCCTGATTCGGCGGACACAAGTTACTGTCGTTAACTGCAATGCTGAGATATGCGGAATCGATAGGCTATGCTTCGACTCGTTTGATGAAAATGCTCCTGGCACTTGGGACAAGTGTGGCATGGGATTTAGGTCTGTGAAGGCGCGAGATACCTTAACACATCTCCTGTAGAACATTACGGTGCTCTTGAGAAACACGACAACATGGATGTTGAGTTTGAGTGTGTCGACCCAGCGAACCCCAATGGTAAGAAAATTAAGTGGAAGAAGAGGCCGTGGACTAGGGCTGGCTAATGGCTCCCAAATAATCCTATCTACGACAATACCCTGATACACATGTTGGAGGACCACTGCTCCATGACTAACCTAAGAGTTTCTTAGATCCCGGATGGTGAACTGTATGCTAGTAATTCGACGCTCGCTCTTTCTGCAAGCGATAGACTGTTGTTCCTCTTGCCTGATTGTAATGGCTGACCCTTGATCTTATATAGCTGAACACATTGAGATACAGACAATGGCTCTGTTTTTTTACCGATGCACCGGGTGATAGAAGGTGTAAAGTCCCTTGCGATTTCTTCATCAACGGCTTCAATAAACCTAGCGCGAACGGTTCATCCTTGCCTGGTGGGTTCCTTGGTCTAGTTCCCAGTGAGCGTATCATGGACGCGCTCGGTAGTGCGCTGAATACGGTGGATTTCGTCTTGCTTCGGACGAGCCTGAATGGGATGAAAGCTAGGGTATGTGGCTGGCTTGTTGGTATTGATGGGTGATGATTAGACTAACCATGGTGCTGTAGATCTGGATATACTTGGACCCTATCAGTGATGGCAGCTGGCTATTAATGGTCGCCAGCACCAAGCCTCGTGAAGCGCTACAGTCGATCCGAGAACTAAGTATGGCGGGCCACCACAAACGACCAACATATTGACGCAATCAAAGCAACCGCTGTGTTTAACTATCTGAACCATCCGTATTTCCAGCCTAAGCTCAGGGGCATCAACAGAGTATTGCGCGAAGAGTTCCAGCGAGCATCTGATGCCTACAACTTTGGACATCCCAGCGCTGGAATCAACATACGGGACTGCTGGGATATTTGGTTCAGAGAATACCTGGAAGATATGGCGTCGAATACGCGTACGTGGGTGCGCGGTGCCATTGCGGATATGCGCTGGGCATGGAGCCCGTTGAACAATCCCAACGATCAAACGTATCAGGAGAGAGCACTGCAGGTCAACCAGCATCTAGACCATCTTGAGACGCTTGGTCTTACTAATGCGAAGATATCCATTGACAATACGAATTTGATATAGTGGTAGTCGCATCTCAGCCAACCCCTGTATAGTAAATATTATTTAGACTGTTCCTTCACTGCTCCGATACCCTACACTAGACTCATCCTGGCCCGGTAGTCCGTCCTCATGAGTTTGCTCCAGCCTTTTACCGCTCATTATAAACAGCTCATGTCACTGTAGCATATTTGCGCTTTCAGCCTCTGGGCGGGTTATGCTGCAATTGGCTTGGCGGTTCATTTCCAAGTTGGAACTGCCCCATTTCGACACGATAGACGCCGAAGGCGATACAAGGACAAATAACAAAGGCATGCTAGAGACCGTCTCGGACGCTTCTGACAGGAACAACAATTTTGTCTGCACCGGCTAAAACTTCATTATCTAGGCCTCCTTCCTGCTGCCCCACCCCCGTTTCAACAATTGACATTGCGCCACGCTCACCCCTCTCACCCACCAAGTACGGCAAGCCTCACGATGGCGGAGCAATCACAGCCCCGGGATCTCAGTAGCCTTTCTGCGCAGTTCCGCAGCGCAATCAGAGGCCTCACTCACCAATGGGGCTTTGCCATTGTTCGCACCGCCTATGCCAATGACAACGACGATGCACAATGGGCTGCCGCCTTGAAGAAGCTGCACGACTACGCTACTCCGTCGGATAGCGGGGCTGAGATGGATCCAGATACATTTGCGCTACCCGTCATATCCGATAGTGCTTTTCTGCGCGGGGCTGACCATGCCTCAGTGCGCAAGGCCTTCAAGCAGTGGATTGCGGATTTTGTTGGCCGGGAGAGAAATAAAGACGACGATGACAACGAAGAGTGGCCCTCGGACGTCCGGCGCGATGTGTGTATTGTCATTGACGAAGCTGCACTGGCTTTGCTGCTGAGTGTGCCAGACTTTGTTCGCGGCAAAGTCCCCAACCTAGACCTGGAGCCGTGGGTTACTGTAGTGGACGCTGAAGATCCGGCCAACATACCTTATCGTGGAGGGGGGCCGTATATGGGTTTCACAAGAGCCTATGTGCGTGTCCTCAGCCAATTGTTCGATGATCTCGACTCGCAGTCTCTAGAGAAGCTGAGCCCGATCCGAGTCTACGATGGCCAGATACCGCTTTTCACGGGTTCTTCGCACGGAAAGCTTGTGGATCCACCTGGCGGAGTAGAAGGGCGATACAAGTTTCCGCGGGGAACACCGAGGGGCGCACAGGGAGTGCAGGCTATGTTGGAAGAAATTGAACGAGCGGTGGGGAGAGGGATAATGGGTTCTTGATTCCGATGAGTTAGAGGCCATCGAACGAAAGAGGACGGAAGTAGTAGTACAGCCTATCCGTGCTCTTGTTCTTTTAATTGTGAAATGAGACTCAAAATCAATCTTAGAATGTTATAGTAGCTAAGTTACAAGTCGGAAAAGGGAAGATGTTGCCTTCAATCTAGCTACTGTTCACTTGTTCCAGGCCAACTCTTTACATCCCATCAACACCTGACTAGTAGTTTTATATCCCTTGATTACTCACTATGTCTCACTAGCGCGTGATTCTCTAATGTTCGTTCCTGCCTGTTGCAGTGCTTTTTCTCTTCTACTGTACAAAAGTGTTGTGTACTGTGGCTTATGTTGAAGATAGCCACAGCAGAGTCGACCGTTCGAGACAGGCAACGGGAAATAACGGTCTGAAACGAGAGAGTATTGAAAGCACTCAGACTGTATCTTTCTTCAGTAAAGAAGATGCAGACATATAGCTAGTGCAGAACCGCCAAATTTGCTGATCCTTCCTTGAGCCAGCACTTACAGCTGCATTTACTGGATCCAAGCAGCTTGCAAAGATGCGCCGCAAGGTTGAGGGACAGCACATACATACTGACACAACCACTAAAAGGCAGCCCGACTGCTGCGCCTCTAATCTCCTCAGCCGCCAGACAACAGCCAATGCTGATCCCATCCTGTGATTGGGCAGCAGCTGTAAGACAGATATGGTTTTACGGACTTCTTCGAATGGCCACGTCGTCGGCATAAGGCTTCTATCCGGCTTGATACTGACGAAAGCCACGTCCAGATCCTATACATGTCTTTGCAAGCTCTTTGCGAAGATCTAGGGGAATTTTATGTCGATTGAATACAGGGGCTTACTCACGACAATGTCTCTCAGGTCATCGACCAGGCTGACGTTCACCAAGCGTCACCTGAACAGGTACAGTCAATAAGAACCTGGTTGGTGAGGCTATTTCGAAAGGATGATGGGCGACTGCTTCCAGAAATCTCGAGACAAAATCGGTTCCTGGCTATCCCAGGAATGGGTTGACAATGCTCTGGAACATCACGATGAGAAGAGTTGGCTTCGAGATATCAGAGAGGGAGATTCTTTGAAGCCTGAACACTTTTGGAACTATGTGGTGGATTGTGAAGTTAAACAATGGTTAGAGCATGAGCGAGATAAGTGGGTAATGTTTCCTATTTCACACCAAAGGATAAAAGCACCGTAAGTCGCACTAGGAGCACTTAGGCGAAGACTCTGCTAAAAGCTGCATCAAGGAATCAATGTATAATTGGTTGCATTCAATGTGCTCTCAGTTGGAGAAGCTTCTGATGTTCAAGCGTATGGCGGAGCTGGATCCGTCTGTCGTGAAAGATTCCGACAGAAAGTCGTCGAAGAGAAAATATAAAAAAAGATTCCGAAAATCAGAACGTGTCAAAGAGTGGGTGAGGAGGTTCCGAGAAGGAGAAGATGTAAAACGTCAAGGTCCACTACACACTTCTCGTAAAAAGAAGGAGACAAGCGCTGAATCTGAGGATTCTAGGAGGGAAACGGACGGAGACTATGTAGTTTAGCTATTGCGAAGATCGGCTCTCTCGTCCGCTCCGAAGTAGGCTACATAGCATTATGTATGTAAACAGTGCTAGAAATCTAGGGAGAAAAACGTATCATTATACTATAGATTCTCGTACATAGATATGAACATTGCTCTAAGAGAGCTAGCGAAGGGTAAAAATAGGTGCGGCAGTGGTTAATGGCAGCGACTTGCAAGGTGACAGATCAAGGGTCTGACACGGTGTAAGAGCAGGGTGGCGTGAATTTGTAAGTAGGGAAAGGGAGCCGAGAGTTGCTTGTTCACTGCAAACTTCAAACGTTTCCTAAGATTCATGCACCGCCTGCTACTTGGCATGAGATCATTCCGCACCAGCCCGTTTCCACGCCAAATCTTGCACACGGCTTCGACCTGTGCCATGTTTCACCTTACGATACTACCTATAGCACTGCTCGGCTCCACATACTCACCCTGCACTGCTAAAGAGAATCTAAACTACCGCCGTAGTTATCGATGTATACGCTTAGTAGTCTCACAATACCCAGCTGCATAGTTGAAACTATCTTCACGCACCACGAGGAAACAAACGTCCTTTGACGATGGACTTGATTTTTTTATTTATTCAACAACAAGGTCATGACGCCTGATAGATGCCAAACCTATTCCATACTCGCCTTGCCTCCCATTTTACCTTAAAAGAACCCGCTGTCCCTTCCGGCCCGCCCTTGGCCGCCAGAAGTGCTTGGCCATGTCCCGCCTGCCCAGGCTCGGGTTAGGTGCATTCAACGTAGTGTTGTACGTCGCATTGGCTGGAGTCACGCTCATCTGGATGGTCGCGTTGCCCTCCCTGTAGGTGCTCGTCGGCGTGCCCACTGTCATGTAGTCGTGACTAAGCTTCTTCTTGCCTGTCGCAACATCGACCCGCTTCAATGCGCGCTCAAACATTTCGAGTGACACAAGCGGCTGGTAAAAAGGTACCTCGTGTCCCGATTCGTAGATACGCACAAACGAGAAGAGGCCAGACTGCTTCACCTGCCCGTGCACGATGCCGTCACTGCTACTAATGTTGGTGAAGCCGGCTTTCGAGTAGCCTTCGGCCCTGATCTGGTCCGCCACGACTTGACCGCCCAGCCAGTTGCAGTTGTAGTCACTGCTCAAAACATTAGCAAATCCTATTCTTTGTATTTCAATCATGACATTGTCCAAACTTACGCGTCTCCGTAGTAAAGCAATACTTGAACGCCTGCAGCAAGCAGCTTCTGGCACGCCTCAATTGTGCCCGACTCGCGACCGTCGTCGCCCGTGGTGCCAAATGACGAGCTGACTGTGCTAGAGCTGGTTGAGAAGTTTTGGAAGGCTCCAATTGCCTTCTGCACCTCAGGTAAGTTGAGGTAGGTCTCAAAATACGAGTACGGAAATGGATCCGGCGTCAACTCCCGCATGTCGTATTCGTCTCGTCCGCTATAGGTGTCGTACAGGAGCTCCACCTTGGAAGCACAGAACTGATCCGCCGCCGCGCATACCGAGTTCCAGCCATCCTTGTAGCACTGCTTAAGCTGGTCAACACAATTGCCTGGGCCGTACAAATTGTTGAACCATTCTTCCTTGACGGACTGGTTGTACGGATCAAAGTCGTATGTGTTGCCAGGATACACGCTATAGTTGTAATAAGCCTGGTACTGAACAAGCGGGTCAAACCACCCATTGCCGATCAACACGTTGTCCAGCTCAATCTTGTGCGCACCAGGAATCTCTTTCGCATTCTGATCCAGGAAATAGGCGTTGAATACTGGTCCATAGTGTCCGCCATAGCTCTCCGTCGCAAAGTTGACGCCGTGACGCGAGTATTCGGGGAATGCTCCCATGAAGCCCTGCAGTGTCTTCCACATGTTTGGCGCCGCCCCTAGGGTATTGTTGGCCGTCAAGGTAAGGTCTAGCTTTGAATATGTTCCGCATGTTCCATATTCTGCAGCATAGTCCGGACATGTCGCATTTGGTAGCTCAATGATGTAGGTACCGTCGTTGTAGCCTGGGACTGGAATCGAGTATGAAAGACCGACTTGGGTAGGCTGATCGATAAAAAGCATATTACTAACGTTGGACCACGAGTATGGGTTATCATAGGGTTTCATATCCGGTCCAACGCCACACGGCCCCAGTTCTTGGAACAGCCCAATCATGGAACTCGATCCGGGCCCTCCATTAATCCAGATCTGCAAACAAACAAAAAGTTAAACGAGACCTGGGCGTGCATGTTGCATTAAACAAAACACTTACGGTCAAAGGGGCTTGTTCCGGATCCTGATTGCGGGACTCGAAGAACCACCAGAAGATGTGTTGGTTCTCCCCGACATCTGCGTACCCTGAATAGCTCTTCACATCCGGGTTCATCTCACAGATACCAGCCGGTACCTGCTTGTAGCGCACGCTGATATTTGCGTAGCCCTCCTTGGTAATGAGATCTGTAGGCGCAGGCACAAATTGCCCAAGCGCACCCGCTGCCAATAAAGGCGCGGCCCACAGTTGACTCGCCCTCTTCATTGTGAGGCTTTCTCGATGTAGGTGGCTGTGGTCACTAGGTGTCAGCGTGTATATCAAAGTCCTAAAGCACGACCTCTCATACCCCTTGAAGAGTTTCGAAAGTCTTGCCGCAGTCGATGGACCCGAGCGAAAGAGAACAACTCGGTAGAGCGCAGAACAGCGTCGGGCGCCAGTATATATATGTATCAAGGCTACGATTGTAGCCTAGTTTCGCCCTGTGCACATGGCATCATCCCCACCTTCTCGTGTTGCTTAATCGTCAGCCTATCTTTGCACTAGTCGGCCGGATCGTTGGCTCTTTAGGCGGCCTGAACTATGGTTGACATCATTTATTGACCCAATGTGTGGAGTCCATTTTGGGTCGATCAACCCGTGGCTAGAAAAGATGCAGCAACCGCTGCCCGGCAACTAGTCGCGCATGTATAGTGCTTGGATGAACAAAGTCAATCAAAGTAGTAGTAAAGATCAATAAGTGTCCAAATCAGAGCCCCGGAAGAAACCGAAGAGCTGGCATTCACCAACGACCCCGCGCGACTCGTACACAAGCATACGACGCTGAGAGCTTGTGGGAGCTTAATGCCGCCGCCAAGTACGGTTTTCTGATATTTAGTCCGGGATTCTAGCCGAGTTAGGCAGGTACTACATGCACCATCCTGGCCGCTTAGCAGGGCATCCACTACCCTAGGCCAGCCTCGGTTTTGCCAATCTAGTTCATCTGCAGCACTGTTATCTATGCAGTGACATGTGTTATTGGCTGAGCAATATCACTATTCGGCCCTACGCAGCTAGCTCCAAGGGGTCGTGCAGTGTGGATTCAAAGGTCCCAACGAATCTACAATAAGAACATGTTAAATCCCTCGGTTGAAAACCTTATTCCTCTCTCCATGCTAAAGACAATTCAAGTTCTACAATGAATTGTCGAGTGACGTGTTACTTGCCAAAAGGAAGCTTTGAAGTTTTGGCGCTCGTCAATTTTTCTGCAACTCTTCTCAAACAACAACTATACGTAGTAATTCTCGGGATAGAGATAGTACATCCAACTATCTCGGGTAGCCTGCATTCGCTAACATACTGCGCACTATGTACTACAACACTAGACTCTAGATGTAATCCGAGTCCCTTGTCAGCGCCGATACGCTGTCTAGAAAGTCCGGTACATGAATGATTGTCCTGAGTACAATATTTGCCAAGGCGCACATGACTAGGGCCAAGGCCGAGAGAAGATAGAGTGGAAACCAAGCCTTGTCCAGCTCATACCTCAGACCCATCTGTTCGGCCCATGCCGAAGCATGCGCAAACCTTTGGACGCTGCCTTCAAAGGATCATATTGCGATAAGTGTATAGCCGCCCTACTTGGAGCTACCATACGCTCTAAACTCGAGGTCTTAGACTAAAGACGTAAAGTGTACTGGAATTTCTCTGAGAGGTTACTCGTACCAATAGCGTTTCTTATGCTTTCAACTTCCCACACATATGTAGAAAACAAAATCGAAAGATGCATTTGCGTCAGGAATCATGTTCTCATCTCAACGTGGGAGTAACCGACTTATTGGCAATGTGTTGTTGGTGGAGCTGAATGAGCAGGTGGCTGCGCAGGTAGTACAAGTCGCTTGTGGCTGTCGGTTGGCCACAGTACTACTACTATTGGCTCAATTCTCGTATCTGGAAACTTGGTTACATAACAAGTTCGAAATACGTATTTCTGCTTTGATATCCGGCAATAAGCCTTGGAGAGGTAGCTCCAGAGGGATCTGCTCTTTATATACTAAGTGAAAAGCGCTTGAGTCTTTTACGTCCAGTATGTAGTCCCTGATGCGACCGAAGGCAGGATTTTTGTAGATTGTGGGTTAATGCTAAACTGTCGTAGTATATCTATTATCTAGTGGCAGAGGTAAGAGAATCGGTTCTTTTTTCTCTACGATATCAGCTAACTCGAATATTCGCACCTGTCTATGTTATGTCTGATACTTTCTCGTACACAAAGAAGATCATCTTCTTGTAGCCACAGGTAACAGAACAAATTCAATCATGTCTTTATTTTTCTACCGGTAACAATAACTGCCCCTCATTCGAGCTACTTAAACTCCTTTGGGCATTTACAACTTTTGTATACAGGCAGTCTAAGGACAGTAATATCCAAAGCTGTGATACTGCTCGAACCCATTGCCATTAAAGTAGCAATTAGCATTGTCGGTAGGAATAGCAAGACGGCTACCGTCGTTTGGCGACTGGTTGTAGCCGGTGTAGAGCGTGATGTGGCATCCTGGGGAAGTTTGCAATATTTGAATAGCTCCGCGGGGTCCTTTGGATGGCATTAAACTTGTTGTCATTTCATAGGTTCCAAGGTCTTACCTGGAAAGTTGCCCTTTACCGTTGCAGGGTTGAGGTCGTAGTTTTCCTCGAAACCCTGGCAATTGATGTGGTCGAATGCGTTGAAGCGAACTCGGCCGTTCGCAGCTGCAAGGGGCAGGAGAGGGAGAAGGGCGTAGAAAAACTGCATTGTGCTTTTCTTGGGTACTGGTTTGAGGCGTGGCTGCTTTGAGTAGGGTAATTGCCAAAGGGGTAGAAGGGGGTCGAGGGAATGTGTTCAGCTGGATGCTGAGACTTTGGATGGAAGAGTGATGAGGTTTTATGTGTACCCGACCGCTGTGCCCAAGCGGAAAATGCCATCATCAGCGTTCTATTCACACCCCTGCAGCATGCATTAGCACTGTGACCCCATTTAGCAACGACCGTTTTTGTACAAGTGGGAAGTCGGAAATATCGGAGTTGTTCAAGAACCGACGCTAGGTCTTGCAGTGTAGTCTCAAAAGACTATCAGGCTACCAGTGGGATAAACGTGAGCTTCTATTGTTACTAGGGTTTACCGCATACCCAATCGTATAATAGGCGAAGTGCAAGCCCTATGGCGTACTTCGGTTGAGGTATTATCAAGCATTAGTAGCTTGTTACTGCGTCGAAGTCGGGTCTAAAGACTTTAATCTTGTGAAACACAAAGAGTGTGCTGGATGATGTCTTGACAAATCTTTCAGAGTCGGCAAAGTTGTCTGTTCCGTATTGGACACTGTACAGATGATGATCATCAAGAAGACAAGATCTCTCAGGAGCCGGCTCTACCTAATCATCGGTCTGCATGACTGGCTTTGAGAGTCTTGGCTATTTGTTGCTAGTTGCTCTCCTTGAATAAACGTGATCCTGCAGATATTGATGACAATAGGCGAAAACTCTGCTTTTGGTCAGCGGCTGGGTTTGCGCTACTAGTAGTAGAATTACTCGTCGTAGTAATCTGTCTTACGATTTCAATATTGCATACTAATCACACAAGGCCCGATAGGTCAATCATGCCATCGGCACTCCTCTTTCCTGTCTCTGTGTTCCACAGGGCGCGTCTAATAATAGGAAACATCCCATGCTTGGACATGGTTCGCAGGTAAACTAGGCAATGCTTGGTTGCAAAGTCGGCGTTAAGTCTTTGCTTAGCTAGCTGATCGCACATTGGGGGCCTTGTCACTGCATGCTTCTCCCGGATAAATTAGGTACTACTATAGATTTGCAGTAATTTCATAACAAGCCTCAACGCGAGTGATTAATAAGCTCCGTGCATCCGCAACTAGCGCGCTCCACCAAAGTCGACGCCCTTCTCGGCGAAACAGATCTACAATGTGTTGGGGCCAAGATCATCAAATAAACATATTCAACCTTTTGCAACAATACGAAGCCTTGATGGGTTCTTGCAAACGATATTTGAGATATGTTAGCAGCGCTCACTACCGTCATGAATGGATCGAGTTCACGAGAGTTCTACAGCGCAACCCGGATGGAATTCTCCTCAATCGATTTTCCTTGCAGCACGAAACTTGACATTTCAAAGGTCTCTTGCAGCTATACAGAAATCTCATGAAATGACAACTCATATTACATGGAAAGAATTTCATGGAAACCCGAGACTTGGCTGCATTACTAAGCACTCTCGACCGGCTTATTCCCTATGAACTCTCCTTGTAGACGATTTTCCTCACCAGGTTGGAAATTCGTCACTTGCGCCTGGCCCTGTCCTTGTCTTTGCACGCCGTTGTTAATATCCAGATAGTGCTTTTGCTCAACGCCGAGCTCATCCAGAGGCGATATCTCTCTACCATCGAGCTCCCAAGCGTTCGCAGATGTCGGCATTTCAGAGCTTTGCGGCATCTTAGAATCCGGGTAATAGTGAGAGAACAGTGGTATGTTACCGGCAGAAGAGTAATATCTAGGCAAGGTTCCCCCAGCAAGCGTTGACGGAGAAGACGCCCAGGGTGCTTGGTCTTGCGGGATGATAGGAGAGATTGGGGAGATTGGGGAGTGCAATGCGGGCTCTGGGGATACCAGAGCAGTGGGTGTGCCCGCTGGTGGTGCCCTTGGATTAGGCGTTATCGAAGAAGTGTTGATTTGGGGTACATGACCATTGGAAGACAATGACGATATCGTGGGACTAGCTTCTTTGTCTGTGAATGGCGATGAGGGTCGGTACTTGTTTTTCCTGCGATGCCGAAGGAGGAGTAGGATGAAGATTCCAATCAGGGCTAGTGCTGCAATGGCTCCTATCACCACGCCAGCGATGAGACCTGCTGAAGTCTCTGAGTCTGAGTTGGATGGGGATAGTGGTAGAGGAGTGGCAGAAGACGAAGAAGCCAGTCCTTCTGAGGAAGTCACAGAGGCTGCTCTTCGGGTCGATGAAGAAGTAAACTCTCCTATGTTTGTGATAGTCATGGATCCATTTTCGTCTCCGACTGCACTTGTTGCCGTGACCCTGACTGCAATACTTGTCGGATCCACGGGCGTCGGCAAGGCATTCACTACTCCGCCAGCCACACTTTCAATCACAGCGGTAGGAACCGTAACGCCCTTGCTTGACAAAATTGACGACACATCGCCCACAATACTCGACAAAAAATCGCCTATTTGCCGTTTTCGCCGTGCGTGTTCCTTTTGGACCTTATCCAGGACTACGCTTCCTGCTGCGCGACACGTGTTGTGGGCATGTCCTTCTGTTACGGTGCGATCTGCATGGTCCCACGGCCCTGGGGCGTAGTTTTCATAGCACGAGATGCGCCATAGGTGTTGGCTGCAGAGACATGCGTAGTCTGGTGCAGGTATGGTATGGCAAGGGAAATTGCTCTTTACTGCTGACAGGCAGGAAGTCATCGCACTAGAACGTATCGTGATCAAAGTCAGTATCGTTGCTTCATATTCTTATATCTCTCTGTTCCGGCTCCCACGATTTGCAATTGAACCAGCCTCAAGGGAAGCAACAGTCAAAGGAATTGATTTACATTTGTTCATGCTTTATTTGCTGTTGCGGCGGCGGCGACTGGAAGAAAGCCGGCGATGGTAGCGTGGGTATTAGAGTCAGTACAACACGAAGCATTGCTCATGTCTTCAATTGAGGAAGATAGACGTCGCTGTCCAAGGAGAGGCATTAGGACCCGTCTGGATGATTGAACAACATAGGTCAAGCAAGACAGATCAGCTCTTTTTCGGGTCAGAAGAGAAAGAACGAGGCAGCCGCGGAGCCTCGATGCCGTTTGCGACAGGAAACCTGCTAACCCGCTAGCCCGGGTGGATGATGTAGTAGGTGTGTAGGAGGTGCATGTGTGGCTTGTGGTGTGGCTGTGTGCAACAGGGGTCATAACATATCTGACTGGCAGGAGGGCAGAGCCGCGTGCAAAGCGACACGCAATCAACAACAGTAGTTTGGTGCGCTAACGGGCCGTCCTCACCACGTTCCACTCAAATGTACAGGCATATATCCCGCTATCCATGAATTCTGCTGATGCAAGAGACCCGTTCAGTAGGGGCAATAGACGTGAGCCATTGAGTTGACCAAACGGTTGCATCGCCATGCTATAATGTACTTGAGTCCATAAGCTCAACAGATGCATATGGGCGGCAAGAAAAAATATGTTAATAACTACATGGGGGGGTATGTTAAAAAGCAATCAATCTCGTCCTTGTCAAAAACGAGGTTTCCGCTTAGGGAAATTTGGAGTATTATCCCACAGTTTTGGGATATTGTGGACTGTCTGCCCTCCATGATAACTCCCAGCAGGTTGACCATGCGAAGCCTACTTCCCATTCGCACCATCACCATGCCCTTCAAGTCGGTTCACAAGCCTCTTCACCCCGCTCCATTCCTCGCTCCTCGTCTGTACACCACCCAAGTCTTCGCCAACTTCGAACACTGTGACAACGCCATCCATGCCACCAACGGCCACCTTCCTGCCCTCATTCCTCTCCCATGCTAGCTTGTTCAGACTTCTGTTCATGTATCCCAAGCCCGTCGGCATGTTCGTGAATGCGCCTCGCTTGCCATCACTAGGCTTGACAGACTGTACAGGCACTTCGACGTCGACGTTGATGTCCCACACTTCTAGGCTGCCTGCTCCATCAACAAGAGCAAATACAGAGGGCTTGACAGGCGACCATCGCGCATCGTACACAAGATCCTCACGCGCAATGTCCAGCACGGGCGTGACTTGTTGTGCGGCGCCGGGTAGAGTGACATTGGTCGCGCCCGTGGCGGCTGGGGGCCGGACTTTCCATAGCTTGACGCTCCAGTCGACACTAGATGATAGGACAAGATCGCCAAGATCAATTTGGCCCTTTGCCGGATGAAAGTCCAAGCTCATGACAGGCGCAGCATGGCCAGCGTATTTGACACGCCCATCCACACCGGCCTTTGCACCCGCACGATCGTAGCGATGGCACGGGTAGATGGACCCTTCTTCTGTGCCAGCAAGGAAATATGTTGGATCCGATTGAGGGAAAGCGATGCTAGTCACGGCCATGTCGTCCGTCTTTGCTGGAGGCGGTGACGTAAGTTCGAGGAATTCTTGTGGTTGCGAAAGCATGTCGACTGTCCAGCCACATACAACGCCATCCGTTGAACATGAGATGATGTTGTTGGCATTCTGTGTACCGACAATGTCCAGTGAGTAAACGGGATGTGTATGACCAGATCCTGTAAGAGGTGTCTTTTGCACAGGTGCAGACTTGGCCCGAGTGTCCCACAACAGCACTTGGCCAGAGTAAGCACCGCCAACAATGAGGTTCGGATGGAATGGAGAGAACTTGGCAGTAAGGATGTCGGACTGGGCGTGGAAAATGTATTCGGGTCGATCATGCATGTGCAGGTTCCAGACTTGGACAAGACCATCCGGGTCGTGTGGAGCAGACGGGTTCTTTGTATACGAGGCGAGGACGAGTTCGGGAAACTTTCAAGTCTGTTGTTAGTAGTGGTTTTGTGCAACAAGACGGTATTCCTTACCTTTGTGGAGAAGCCCAGATCGGAAATCATTCGCTTCTTGCTCCACCGCTCATCCCAGAACTGCGCAACCTCCCTTATCCGCCGACCCTTCTTTGCTCCACTCGAGCCGTAGCCCTCATCCGAGTCGTCGACATCCACACCTGCATGCGCATAGTCGGCCAGAATGTCATAGCCTAGTTGTTGGTCGAGAGCCCGCTCCAGCACCTTTGTACTCCGCTCTACAAAGCCAATGAATTCCTCCGAGTTCTCCACGGCTGTGAGTTCCTCGTTGGTAAGCGTCTTGAAGGGGAAGTTCTCGTCTGATCCCGGCTGTGGCGCACCTTCCTGAGGTGGTTGTTGGACTGCCTTGATCTCTTCCTCAATCTCCTTGCGCAGCTGGGCTCGAATCTCCTCCTCACGCTCTTTTTGTCTCCTGCTCATCCTCTTGCTCTTGGGTGATCGTGTAGGGCTATCGTCGCGCTCACTGTCGCTGCCGCCCGCGCGACGTTCCTTTGAGGGACTCCATTCTATGCTCGCCTGCACTCCTTTGCTGTAGGTTATGATCTCCTTTTCTTTCTTGATCTCGTTTGTGACTTGGCCGTCGATTTCGTACACGGTAGCCAGTGGGCCAATCGAAAGTGTCTGCATCTCTCGGTCGATCATGCCAGCAGATGGCGGGAAGCCGGCGGAGCCTTCATCGCTGCTGAGCTGGCCTGCGCTGACAACTGACGTCGGTCGGGTCGCCCGCCCTGGGCCGGCAGGTGAGCCAGGTCCAGTTGATCCAGGCCTGCTCTCGCCGAGAATGCTGTTGATGAGGTTGTTGACGTCGGTTCTCCGATCGAGGTCTTCGCTTCGCCTTGGTGTTGGTGAGAGGACTTCCCCCAGCGGACTGCCTGTTGTCGACTGCCGGCTCGCCGACTCTGCCTTTCTCAGTTCGCGCTGGCGCTTCAGCTCAGCGAGCTTTGCCTTTTTCGCAAGGATCTCATCCCGCCGTTGTTGCATTGTCGATTCCATAGCGGAGATGTGGAGGGGACCAGTGTGTATGCGTTGTATGTGTTGGTGTATCTGGATGTTTGTTGCCGTGTCACTGGTTATATAACCCCATGCATGTGAATGGCCGTTTGATATTTTCTGTATTTCTCTGCGTTCTTGCGCCCAGTGACCGCAGCAGCAAAAAAAATAAACAGCGTGGCGTGTGTGGTTGTTATGTGGCTACGTCGTCGCGCCAAGCGGAGTGTTCAGTGGTGAGTGTTCAGGGACGGGGGGGAAGGACGCACTAGCTCGCAGCGAGGGCAGCAGCCCCGACCAAATCTTGCGCCAGGTCCAACCTCAACTTTGACAGCTCTGCAACGCCCAACAACCCGCATCCGCCCCGACGCCCCTCGTCTTGCCGCCCCGGATCCCATCCCCCCGGCGTCTACACCACCGTCTCGTCCGGAATATCTGCCATTGGACATAGACGACCAAGAACAACGGTTATCGCAAGCCATCTCATACGCCCCCCCCAAAACCGTCACCATGTCCACATCCGTCGGTGTCAACGTACGCTCAGCCCCCTCCATCCCGCCAAAGGACCCCCCCAAAATATCCAGAACAGTGTGCTTGCCTGGGGTCCTGCAACACCACCAGACTTAATTGACAATGACGGCTAATGGATTACAATCACAGGTCCTCCGGTGGTCCGCACTCGGCCTGGGAGTCTTTTATGGTGCCTACCATCAGCTTTCGCTGTCTGCCGCCGACCGGGCAAAGGCCGCACAAAAGGAGTGGGACCACAAGCAGGCGTTGATCAGACAAGCAAAGGAGCAATGGGCACGAGACCACCCTTCAGAACAGCCAAAATCATCGGGAGGTGCGTCATTTTGCTGCCAATCTTTCTTAGCCGAACTTGTTTGACTGACTGATGAAAAAAAAACAGCCAAGGCCGACCCGAAAGATCCCAATGCCGATCTACACGCTCTCCTCGGCATAACCGACAAATAAGCCTAGTCAGAGAAGGCTTCATGTTTCCTACCCTAGCATGGACATAATGCGGCTGTCCCCTTTTTGCCAAGCCCAGAGGACGACTGGGAGAGGAGGGGGAGAGAGACAGAGAGGATAACTAGTCAATAGTCGTACGACATCTACGAGATACCAATCTCCCGGTACTTTTGTGCCCTTTTTGTACAACATAGACGTCGGGTTGATCACGTTTTCAAATACACATGCTTCAAGTTTGAATGATGGCGCCCGTTGGCTTGCTTTACTTCATCTTGTTTTTCCTCTTCTCTTCTGATTTCATTGTTGCACTCGGTCAACCCAATCAACAACCCCACTCAATTGATAGTGAACAGAGACAAACAAGCAACACGAACAACAGAAGGGTATGCATACCACAGACCGCCTACAATGTCACGTGCTCATTGGCCCAAGTCATATCTTTTAATATCAGAAAACGTTGTATTCTATACATGTCTCATTTCGTCTCATCTCATCACCTGGCCCCCTCTGAAACCACCCATGGGCGTTAATTCGTAACAAAAAAAGCCAAAACCAGAGCCCATGAGAGAAAGTGCCATGCAACTCTCGAGATGTATCCAATCCAAAAAAAAAAAAAAAAAAATAAATCAAAACAAAAGCAGTGGAGTGGGTTTCCAAACAGAAGAGTATCAAATGCCAAAAGCGCAGAAAGAGACGAGACAAGTGGGCCGAAGCAACATGAACGCTGCGCGGCCCTTCCTTTCCCCCATTCGCCTCACAAGCGCTTGACACTAGCCTTACCCCGATCCCTTGCAGCCAAGCCGCAAAGGCACACATAGTTGCACATCTTTAACAACCTGCCGTGAAGCTATGCCTTTTTATTTCATCATTCAACCCCTGCTTCTATTACAATACCTCACCGACAATCTTGGCGGCCTCCTTGTACGTCTTGAGCAGCTTCTCGCACTTCTCGCGCTCAGCCTTGATTGTGTCATCCTCGTACAACAACTCCTGGAAGAGATCTTCCTTGTACAGCGTAGACACCAGACGGTTCTGTACAACATCCTTGGAGTGGTTGACCAACAAATGCATGATCGCCTTGGGCACTTGGTCAGCAACAGTCTCTCGCACAATGTTGAAGTACGATGAGATGAGCCGGCGGATAAGCTCAGTCTCAAGCGCTTCGCGTTCTGTAAGGGCTGGTGCTTGCTCAGGGTTGGAGGGCTGTGTGAAGTTAGCACGCAGCGTCAACAAGATCTGATATGGAAACTTACAAAGCCGCCTTCAAAGTTTTCTCCGCCCATGTTTGGGCTATGAGGAGGGGCACTGAAAGCAGCACTCGACGGTGCATCATAGTCATCAGTGTCTGGTGGCATCATCGCCAGTACATGGGCAGGTTGCTTGCTGTCACCCCTCCGAATGCTCTGGGCAAAACTAGGCTCGATATTTTGGGTGACGTGCCGGCTTCCTGGCCGGTTGTCAAGCATCGGTTGGGTTGCTTGCGGCAAGCCCTGTGGGTTAGGATATGCGGTATTGCTGTCTTTGCTGAAGAAGTAGTTCAGGAAGCTGTCACGGGCAGTACCAGGAGGTGACCGGTTGCGGCTATTGAGTGCTGCTGTTGTGCTCTGAGATCCGTTCACCATCCGTCCCACAGCCGGTGACATGCTACGGCTAGTCTGGGACTGGTGTTTTCGAAGAGGAAGAGACTTCAGCGATGCGTTGTCACCACCTTCGCCGTCTTCTGCGCCCTCCCCGTTGGCACCGTTCTGGAGCTCTTTCAATCTTCTCTGCTCTCGCTTCTTCTTCTCAGCCTCCATTGCAATCTTCTTCTCCCTTTGCTCCTTGTCGCTAATGACGGATGACATGGCAGCAGCAGCACCAAGGAAGTTGGGGTGGTTTGTATTGATGTAGGCTCTTTGAATATCGATGAGGGAGGCGACATAACCCGAGCAGGGACCAAGCTGTTCTCGGAGAAGATCTGACACGACTTCAATGAGCTTTCCTTGTAACCTGGGGTATCTTGTCAACTCAGTGGAGCCGCATGTGTGACAGATCTTGATTAGCTCTTCGTAGACGAGCTCGACACAACGCTGGCTTGGAATTTCCAAAAGCTTGATCTGGGGTTTTACGAGGAGGTCAAATGCCAACTCGGGAACGAACAGACTAGGTCGGGGACCAGTCGAGTTGCGGATAGCCGTCCTAATGTCCAGTACGGACAGGTTCTGGGTAGGATCGACCTGCTCGAGCGAGTTGCCGAAGACCGAGTTGAAGATGTAGTATATCCGGGCACCACCGCATAGCTCCTTTGTCGAGATCTCCGTAGAGGTACCGTCGATGGATGCAATGAAGGAAGAGGCAAAACGAGTCATGAGTTGCAGGATGAGTGAGCCACGGTGCTCTTTCCCAGTGAAGGTGACGTCGCCATAGCTCGCAAGTTCCTGTTGTGTTTGGCCCATGAGGGTGTTCAGGCGTGCCTTGATGTCTGGTAAACGGTCTCGGATGTGAGCCATGAGTGTTTGGTTCAGGCTCTTGGCAAGCAGTTGGGTACCGCAGCGGTTTGCCATATTCCTGTACGCAGGGTGGTGTCGGAAGAAGTCCCGCTCGGCCTGGAGGGCATCAGCCAGGGACTTGTTGCCCTGGATGTCCTGCTGTGATCGGTTGACGATACCAATGAAGCCGAGCTTGAGTGGATAGACACGGCCCGAGAGAATGTCCATGGCATTGGTGCCGTGGTCCATAAGGTCGAGCTTTGTGAGGACACCAATGGTCCTCTTACCCATGGGGTCGACATGACGTGCAAGCTTCAGAGCCTCTGAGTTTACGAGATCGACGTTGGCGGGAGAGACAGCAAGAATGACACTGTTTGGCTTGGCAATGTACTCGGTGATCAAGTTCCGTGTCTGCTTCTCGATATCGGAGGGTTGGTCACCAATGGGCACCTGTGTTTTGTTAGCCTGGGATTGCCACGCAGAAAAAGTCGTAAGCGCCCACCTTTGTCAAACCAGGCAAATCGACCAGCGTCAAACTCAAGACGTGAGGCGAGTAGATTTTCAGGTTAATGGGCTGCCTGTTGATGCCCTTGTTGTTTCCTGCTATCCTCGACGTCTCGTTCTCGATCTCGCGCTTGACTTCGCCAAAGTCGTAGAAGCGCTGGCCAGGAATGTGGAGAAATTCAGCCCACTCCTGCTGGCTGGCAACGCTTGCGGGCGTGTGGGGCACATGGACTTCGTCGTCGTCGTCTTCATCGCGTTCGCTGGGGAGGTTGATGAGTTGGAGAATGAGCGGTCGGCGGGTGACGATGCCGCTGCCACGGGGCAGGAAGTCCTTGCCGACAATGTTCTCGAGCACTGACGATTTGCCAGAGGACTGCGATCCTACGACGACCTGGGCCAGTTAGCAGCGCCTCGACAGCATGCAGCGGAGCGGTTGAAAATCTGCTCCGCCCTCACCGCATTCCCTCTTCCGGCCGGGGCGCACATACAATCTGGGGCAAATCGAGGGAATCATTTCCAATCGTGTTGAAGACCAGGTCCTGGAGCCTGTTGACAATGTTGAGGAGTTCCTCGCCCAGCGCCGCCATAGCGCTGTTGTGTATGTGTCGTTTCTTTGCACCTCACGGGACGGACTCGTTGCCGGACAGCCAGACCAGACCAGATGGCGGAACCGAATGCTGCGGGGGGGAAAGTCGTGGCAGGACGGGGGGAGGAGGGGTATGTGCAGAGTACAAGTGCGGGATCAGGCGGGGAGATATAGGTGATGGCGGCCTTTGGGGGGTGCAGAGGCTCTGGACGGGAGGGCCTTTGCTGCAGCTCCGTCGTCACTTCGCTTGAAAGTTCATGTTCCAAGGCGGCGGGCACGTGACGGCCAGCATGGCACTCTGCTCCCCACATCACGCACTCGCACTCACCACTCTCCTTTAGTCTGGCCTCGGGCTACCCATGTTTCTGCGCATAAAGGAGCGCTGGACGCCAGCACACGCGACAAGCAACCCCCCAGGGCTGTTGTTCATGGAGAGCTCGAGGCGGTCGCTGGCGTTGGCCGTGAGCCATGGGCCTGGCCTGTCAAACGCCACAGCAGCTGCCGGGTACATAATGAGTACCTGTGTACATGGAGCGCACAGCAGCCCGCAGCACACGACAGCCGGGGTGCGCAATGCCATGAGAAGAAAAACACGCAGTCGCACCAGCAGCGTCATCAGCATTCAAGTGTTGGGAAACTGGCAGTGGGCCAAGCCATCAGAACAACTCATCGCACGGCTCCGCAGCCCCTGGTTGAGCACCCACAATTCGACACACCTCGAGCGTGTCTGCACTGGCAGCACCACGCCTCTCCCCGTCGGGTTTCGATGGGGTCGCCTGTTGCTGGCGGGTGCGAAGAGGGCATGACACGTATGTAGGTCTGTAGGCTGGAGACTGACGACTACACGGTGCCATGTACACTACACACACGACACTACCAGCCTAGCCCAGCCTACTCCCGCCGGCGGTCGGGTATTGTCGGGCCCCGCGCCTGGCGTAGTACAACCAAGACGGCACGGCTATCTATCGCTGCTCACCAACCACCCTTATCGCTGCTCACCAACCACCCTTATCGCTGCCCTCGCCACGGCCAGCGGCCACCACACCACATTATCAAACCACATCTCCAGATGCCGTCTCCACATCCTGGGGAATGCGGGCTGATCGCCATGCATCTCCTTTTGCGACCCGGCTTCATTGGCCGCGCCATCACGGCCAGGTACCGTCACGTGTACCTGCCGACGGTATCATGCCTTTGCACAAGCTGACAAGTGTAGATAACCCCGACCGAATCTTGATGCTGTGACCAAGCTCTGCCTAAGCTCTGCCTGTCTGCCTGCCGAAGGAAGCCTATCGTCAAGAGATAAGCCCTGTTATCATGCGCACCGCAAACAAAGGAAGAACCGCCCTTTGCACCTGGCCTACAAAAGTCGCCCGTCGACGCTGACCTCTGCACCACCCCCCCCCTTCTTCATCCGCGTGCGCATCTCAGTCTCAATCTCATTCCGATTCTAGCCCATTTCCAAGCCAAGTCCACTTTACCCGTCTTCTCAAACAAGCTTCCATGGCCCCAGAGTCTCTAACCGTCACCACTACCCAAGAAAATCACGACATAACCATAGGAACTATAACATGCACTGCATCTATTCCATTCGGAGGCCAAGGCCAATGGCTCTATTCACCGGCCACCAAAAAGTTCGACTTGTCTCGAGGCGCGGACCGGAAAATGGTTCTCGAGTGCGATGAAGAACGCAGCAACCACACGGGCTTCATGATTGACCCTGGCAAGTCAGTCTTGATCGTCGTTGACATGCAAAACTACTTTGTTCATCCATTGTATCGCGACCACGCAGCAGGAATTACTGCCATCGATCCTACTTTGAAGGTCATTGAGAGATGCCGAAAAGAAGGCATCCAAGTTGCCTGGCTGAACTGGGGCATCACCGACCACGACCTGAACAGGATGGCGCCTGCTGTCCAGCGCGGCTTCAGCAAGACGCTGGGATGGCATGTGGGGCTGGGCGCTCAGCTGCCTGACGGCCAAGGACGATGCCTGTTCAAGCGGACGTGGAACGCAGCCCTATACGGACCGTTTCAAGCAGTCGCCCAGCCCGGCGATCTCTTTTTCGACAAGACACGAATGAGCGGTCTCTGGTCTGAGAGGGAGCCCATCCATGAGTATCTCCGGGCATCTGGCAAGCACACGCTGCTCTTTGCTGGCGTCAACACGGATCAATGCGTCTTTGGCACCGTGTCCGATGCATACTCATACGGATGGGATTGTGTTTTGCTCAGCGACTGCACAGGCACAATGACGGGACGCGGAGCTCAGGAGCTAACCGAATACCAGATTTCGCAAAACATGGGCTTCGTCGTTGACAGCAACACTTTCTGCAATGCTTCGATCAATGAACACGTCGAGGGTTGCTGATCTGGTCGCGCCCATGCTCCTTCACATCGGCCTCTTTTCTTGTTTCTTTCTGGCGGTACCTGTTGTTTAGAAATACCCATAGCGCAAGTAGTACAAGACGAATACATTTAGATTAATTACGTCTGCTTTGTGGCTTATCTCTGCGCAGTAGTTGCCCAATCAGCGCCCTCTGCCCGATCCGATGGTCGATCTACAATGCTGAGGCACAGATGACGCACGTGTGGGGAAACTACCAGGAAGGAACGACAATGACATTAAATGCTTGATGCCAGCTGCAGATTCCACCTACTGCCGCATACCAGAATCACAGGACGCCGCCCTGCTCCATTCACCCGCAAAATGCCTTCCATATTCTCAATTGCCTCAATCTGCTGGCTGCAACTTTGCGCAACAGCAATTGCCCTTCCAGTAGAGCAGAAACCGCTTCTACTCAACGGCCCCAAAAATGTCAGAAATGTTAGGACACAGTGAGTTTTTCGCAACTTGAACTACTGGTCGGCTTTTCCTGACTAAGAGCTGCAGACTTCATAATGCCGAAATCATTCCTACCGGCATGTTCATTCAACTCGTGTACGAGGCCAACATTCAGCACTGACAGCCCTCTAGTCATCGACGACTTTCTCCCCAGTCTCACACTTTCCATCGCCTGGCCGGATGCCAAGGCTAAGCTAGGCAATACTGTCGATCCAGAAGACCTTCAGAAGCAACCCACCGTCATTCTGCACGACGACACTAGCCCGGACGGCAAGCACGCTAGTTCTGGAATGAGCTATATTGTCACCTTGACAGACCCAGATGCCCCGTCCCGCGACAACCCAGAGTGGAGTGAATTCTGTCACTGGATTGCTTCCAATGTCTCCATTGCTCAAGATGCGTTTTCTGTCCTGCCTGTGCCAGAGTTTGGCCTCACTGAGGAGATTGAATCAACAGAAGAGCTGGATGATGTCATGGAATACAAACCTCCTGGCCCACCACCCAAGACTGGCAAACATCGCTACGTGTTTCTTGTTTTCGCGCCCAAGAATGGAACTACCGAGCCTTTGCATCCGAGCAAACCGCAGGACCGTAAACATTGGGGTACGGGGAAAGAACGTGGCGGCGTAAGAGAATGGGCCCAGGAGAACGAGCTCGTTCCCGTGGCAGCGAACTTTATCTATTCCGAGAACGAGAAGCAGTAACTATAACGGCTTTTGTATAATTAATCACGACATAATACCTTAATTTCTTCTGTGGGTACCGGAACAGAGTTTAATGGAGTCTAATCGGAATTTTATCAATCATCTATAATGTTTTCATGAGGGCGAACGGAGCATTTGGTTCCAAGACGTGTCAACAGCAATAAATGTATATTCGTAGGCTTGATCTCAACAGCCTTTGGCTACTAACTTTGCCACATTCTCGCTGTTGTTTGATGGCCTTGAAAAATAGGGGAACATGAAGCCATGAGGTAGCATCCAGACACTTGGTGTGTCCGAAGCAACACTGTACTAATAGCTCACCCTCAGAACCGTGACATACAACATTTGGACACCACTACATTGCATTGTCCGAGCCATCGCGACAATTCAACACATACTGCGGATCTTCCAGCCCCAGCACAGAATCGCCATTTCCAGACTGATGCAGTGCCCTTGCCACCACCAGAAAGCGGTCTTTTTGCGGATGTTTTTGCAGATTGCGAAGCGAGCCCCTGATCACCATGCCCATTCTAGCCTCGCCAAAGTCCAATCCCATCACACCTATGACCTTGAATGTTCGTCGTGGATGGTGCTCGAAGCACTTCCAGAGAGCAAGTAGACGGCGGTCGTTCCAGTCGTTGACAAGATCGCGGACGAGGGCATACTCGCGGGCAGGATGGTCCAGGTCCTGGTAGTGGTTTTCGAGGTCACATATGATGGTTTCGATACTCTTTTGAGGGGATTCCTCGGGCTTTTTGTTGTTCTTCGGCTGCGTGGTGAAGGCGTATATGTCTTTGGCTGAGCGGTATTGCGACATCTTTAGCCGTGGTGTAGTCGTCAGTGATGGCATTGAAGAGGTGTTGTAGTTTGCGCCATGGTGGCACCAATAGGAATGCATCAGTAGTACTGTTTATAGCGGTAGGCAAGGGGCCTGTGGGTGGGAGATGCTATATCACGAGGAGCTTCGCGTGCCATATCTCGCATGGGACGCTCCATTTATAGCATCTAAATAGGCCTTCGCACTGTGTGTCACATGTTCTATATGAAGCGTGCGATATGGATTGCGCACGCCAGCCCGTGGAATCCATTCATCGATCCATCTTATTTTCGTGGCAGTAATCCGGTCAAGAAGATGACATGTACGAAGCGCCGTGGTAGTAGTGAGGGGATGAACGAACCATGCCTAAACAGGCCTAGTCCCGCTAAACCCACGTTTTGGCGCGTTCAAAGCTGCTCCAGAACGGAAAACAATGACGTCGCACGAGCCGAGTTAACCATAGTCCTTCTTATTCAGTTTCCGCACGTTTTTTTTTACTCGAAATCATTCGTCAAGATACTGTAGTGCCAGAGCATGTCAGATGAGCCGAAGGCCTCGGTAGCTACCCCAGCACCCTACTACATTGCCAAGTCGAATGTCTGTGTGAACAGCAAAGGAGAAAGTGTGGGAAATGGATTGTTCGCGAATCAGAGGTTTGGTGCAGGCGAAGAGATTGCGAGGTTCAGGCGTCCTCTTGTAGGCTCTTTAGAGACGGAACGTCTACTCGATACCTGCGCAAACTGCTATCTTTGGACCGAAGGTGCGTCAGCAGGAACAAGATTGTATGTGCCAGAAGGCGCAGAAGTCAGCAAGTGTGCTGCATGTCAGAGATTTAGGTATTGTAGCAAGGTAAGTCTTGTCCATGCATATTTGCCTCGTCGCCAATTGACTCTTTAGGCTTGCCAAAAGGAAGCGTGGAACCGCGGGCACAAACATGAGTGCAAGATCCTCAAGCCCATGGCTGGCAGAGGCCTTCCAAAAGCATTTCTAGCGTCTATGGAACTACTCACCAGGCGGAAGCATGGCCTTATACCTGATAAGGATTGGGAACTGCTTTGCCAATTACCATCTCACATTGACGACTTCAAACGCAATGCAACATATCAAAATATTGAAATGATGGCTATGGGTGCCGCACAATTTTCTCTCCCACAGAATGTCTTTGACAAGGATTTTGTTGCTGCAATGTATGGACGGGTAAGTGGAGCCCGAATACCTATGCGCACACTATTAAATCGTGCAAGGTAATGTCAAACGCCTTGACGCTCATCACGCCGACATTGGACCCACTGGGCATCATCGTGGACCCTACACTCTGCCAGATGAACCATTCTTGCGACCCAAATGCTTACATCATGATGGATGGACCCCTGGTCAGTATTCGGACTCTCCGGCCAATCAGGAAGGACAAGGAGATTTTTATATCCTACATTGATACGACGCATCCGTACCAGAAACGACAAGACGAACTGCAGGCACGTTGGTTCTTCACATGCCGATGTGCGAAATGTCAAGACAAAGCCACGCACCAGGAAGACAATTGGCTCGTTCCAGGAAACTCTGACTTTGTGGCCAGCAAAGAACAAGTTCAGGCATTGGCCAGCAATCAAGAGCAGATGTTCACCTTGTACGAGCAAGTCCAAGGCATGCCAAATGCAGAGGCTGTGATCCCGGTTCTTAAAGAAGCCCTCAAGGCATGCCACGAGTCCGGTAACTGGCCTCTATACCGCCAGCCGTACGCCTCGATTCGCGATGAGCTCATTGTAAACCTCCTTTCAGTGGGCAAGTATCAAGAAGCATGGGCACATAGCGCAAAACGGTACAAGTACATCTTGCCCAAGCTTTACTCAGTGCCATTCCACCCCGTCCGAGTGGTTCAGACATGGCAGATGGCGATGCTTGCAGCATACCTTGCAAGCACCGAAGAGGGTGTGGGCGCGCCGGGCGTCAATATGGGTCTTATCGCGATGATGCTGGTGAAGCAAGTGTTGGACGTTGCGCCTATGAGTCACAGCCAGGACAATGCATTCACTAAGAGCGTGGTGGAGAAGACGAGAGAGATGGTTGAGGAGCTGAAGCGAAGCGTGGGCAATCCAGACAAGGATGTTATGAATAGGGAGTTGGAGGCTCAGAGAGATCGCCTCATGGATATGGGTGATTGGGCTCAGGATGGGAAGGCGCCAGAGGTGAACGTGGTGGAAAAGGCATTTGGTGTGTGATGTGGGAAGATGGCTGTCGAAGGTACTAGGTTCTTGGGCGCGATTATTTTGTGAGTCCTGTGATCGGATCTTGTAGATGCCAGAGTCACTTTCTAGTAACCATGGTCACCTCATGGCAAATGAGTGCAGCTGCCTTTTGTGCATAACGCTTTACGTTGGAATGCGCACTTCAGTCCTCGAATTTTTCTCTCATTTGAGTATTTGCCACTACCACCAAGGGCTTTCACTAGAGGCTGTTAGACCTGAGCTCACTCCTCCCAAGGCTTTGTCACGACCGATTCTCACTGGTAGACATGCCATGTCACAGTGAAAGTGAGTGCAGCCGATACTAAGTTAGTGTCCTTGGCCAGTTTTCACCCTCACCGACTTACCCGATTGAGACAGCAACCTCTCTCACTACACACGTGTGGGAGTGAGACACTTGGCCTATTTTAACTGACTCTTTGAGCAGTCTCCCAGCCATTTGTTCTTGACGCCGTCACCTCCAACTTCTAATCACTTCACGGAACACAGGTCCAACGTACCCAACCATCAACACGACCATGCCACCCAAGGTCACCGAAAAAGCAGACAAAATGTTCAGTGCCGACGTCGTTGCCGCCGTCCTCTACAGCACCGGCACGACCAGCCTATCGATGAAGAACTATGAAATGATGAGTTCGCTCGACGGCAAAAAATCCGCCTACGGCTTCCAACACGACTTCCGCTCCGTCATCGCCAAAGCCAAGGAACTCAAGGCACGTGTTGAAGGCGGCGAGGAGTTTGTCCCCGTAGCATCTTCCGCCAAACGCGGTAAGTAGACCATCGCCCCTGCGTGTGTATATGTGTGTGTGTGTGTGTGTGTGTTCAACACCGCAACGAACAGTCGAGATCAAACATACACATGTACGATGCGTGGGCTGACTGGCGTGCAGGTCCGACGACGCCCGTGAGTACGCCGAGAAAGCGCAACAACGCAGATGTTTCGGATGCGGATAAGACGCCGTCGAAGAAGCGGGTGACGCGGGTCAAGGAGGAGGGTACGCTGCAGAGTCGGGATGAGCGGGGGGAAGGTGCGGTTAAGGGGTTCAAGAATTGCGTTCCTGAGGATATTGAGACGTTTATCAAGGGCGAGGCGGCTTGGGAGGAGAAGTATGCTTAGAGAGAGAGATGGAGAGAGTTGAGGGGGTGCGTTTGTGAAATGGGGGTGGACAAGGTTCGTGAGGTGTGAATCTTTTCTCTCTCTCTCTCTCTCTCTCTCTTTCTCCTCTTCCCCCAACACTAAGAAAGAATCATCTGATTTCTTGAAGGGCATCTCAGTATCATAATCAATTTTCTGTTCGGACATGTGGGATGCAGAGAAAAGGGCTTGGGGTTTTTGGTGTTGAAGAAAGCTTTGTTCTTTTCTCAGTTTCTTCCTGGTTGACTGACTGCAACCCTTTTTCCGAACCCCTAAAAAAAGTGGCAATACTGTATCTAGCTACTTACTTCAGATGGCTACCCGTATCGGCGGATACAACTCGATTATTATGTGACTGGGAGCGAGAAGAGCAATGCAGAAATCTTGAGTCATGTCGTATACACTGGTAGCTGAATTATATAGGGACTTGGCCACCTTCACAACATGGCTTTGTCGGTACTACTTGCATTACTCTAGGGGGTCGGCCGAAAAGATTGGTGCGGAGATGAGGACGAGTAAGGGGGATTATGAAGAGAGCGCTATTTTCCCCAGAGCGATGCGCAGGGTTGTATGAGGAGAGGTGTTGGGGGAGGTGTTGGAGGAGGTGTTGCATATATATTATCTAGAATAATGTGTGTGTTTGTGTACGTATAAGTCTACTATCCTATCTAAAGGTCTCTCTCAGGGTACGCGTACGGGTGAAGTCTAGGGCTTACGGTGTTGTAGCGCCGCCTAATATCACCCATTCGTGGGAATTGTCTTCCAAAGTACGTGCTTCCTAAGACGACCGCTTCGCCGGCTGAGGGGCCGTTACTTATTTTTCCTACTGGGCGCAAAGCCTGGCAGTAATGCAAGGAGTAATCGACTACTGACAACGCCATGGTGTAAAGTTGGCCAAGTCCCTAATACACCATGTCTGCAAACGTATTACTATTTTACCCGGCCAATGAGCGTTTATTTGGACCCACAGATCCCGAGAATGAGGAGAATTGAGCCAACCATGGCTTTTTGTCGACATGTCTGAAGATTGCCACCTGGATGGTAGAGCCAAAAATGACTTTACTAACACTAGGAGCGCGTTTCTCCTTGACATAGGGGACATTTGCCACTTTGATATTATTAGTGGCGCAAAATGTGTTTGCGAAGATGGCGTGTAGCACAAGATGAGCGTCTCATTGCGGGCGTAACATGGATGGGAATTGTTGCGAACAGGCGGGTATGAATAAGGCAAAAAGCTTAATTGGACCAGGTAGTGGCTTGCGTACACCTAGTAATCATCAATTTGTCGAAGCGCGAAAAAAAGAGTTTACAGGTTTCTGCAAGGGGACAAGTGGGTGACGCGGCGATGACACTTTTGCAAAAGCAGCCGGTATTTGCAACAAGGCGGCAGAGGTCCTGACACACACACACACAGCCTGCTTTGTCTACGCCAACCTTTTGGGTGGCGACATGATGGGGACAAGATGCCAAGTCGTTACTTGATGCCTTTTGGGACAAAGGGTGAGACGGGGCAGTGGCGAACATGTATGTAGTATGTTCATGCTGTGCCGTGTCTGAAGAGAGATGGAAGAAAAGCCGTCTTGGTGATGGACAGAAATAGTAGCACAGACCATGGGAGCAAGGGGGGGTGCAAGACAAGGAATACTTACGCACGCTCCTCTGTCTGCACGCACCCATGGCTGCACAGTTGACAAAAGTCGATAAGTAGTACCATGTGGGTTTATCGACGGCGAACAGGTGGTTCCCCGCCGCGAGATGTGCAGACTGGTACTTCCCCAAGTCGATTGATGCTCCACTTGGGTTTGTTACTCGGCACGTACTAGTATGTATACATTCAAACACATGGCGTGCGCGCCCTCTTGTCCACGCCCAGACGGAGGGCAGTGCCCAGCGTTGAATGTCTTGTGGGTGGAGCTCCAAGCGTCGGGCCGTTGTCGAACAAGTATCTGCTCCGTCCATATGGACTAGTCCAGTAAGTATATGTCGTAAGCTCATCACCGGCGTCTTGCCGGTCCTCGAAGCTGTCCCTCTCGTCCACGTCGGCGCCTTGTCGGTTCAATTTGGGTGCATGGTCGACAGGGCCATGGCAGCAGCACGGCGGTGGTGAGAGTCGTCGGCATGAGTGAGACATGACGTCTGCTCGCGGGCGCCAAAAGGCTCGCTGGCACAACCGGCGTTCGTCTGGAACGACAAGGCCTGTGTGGAGCCCCAGCTGATCGCTTGTGCTGGGGGGTTGTGGTGGCTATGGTGGCCATGGCGGCAAAGGAGATTACTACTACGTTCTACTGCCAACGAGACGATGGACGCGACGCACATGGCCACACCAACTGCGCGCTCGCCATGAGCATGGCCAACGACGTGTTCGAGAAGATATCGACGCGGCTCTGGAACGGGCGTGCATATCAATATCCGCATGCAGTTGGGCGTTGACGGGATTGCCCCTGAATTTCCCCAGGTTATTGACTTTGTTTTTGCTAGGCCGCAAGCAGGCTAGAGGCCAGGTACCATGGCGCCAGGCACGCAGCAAAGGGGCCATGCATCCGCCATTCACCCTCGCACCCACACCACCCCATGGACCCGCCCAGGGTTGCCTCTTGGCCCAAGGCCCTCGCACGAGACGTAGGCGAGGCATTATAGGGGACGCTCCCAGGCCAGCCCGCCTGCGCGCCAATCACCGCCGCGCCGCATGAGCTTCATCTCTCGTTAGTCGGCAGTCTAGCCCGCTTCCGGCTCCAAATCTTGCTCCCCTCTGCCGCCCCAAGGGCGTCTGCACCCGGCGCAAAAACACACCGTCAGCTCGCGGGTCCCGTCTTTTATTTCGTCTCGCCCGGCGCCCTCCATCCTTTCTCTTTCCTTCCTTCAAGCCGCTCACTCGCTGATCAGTCACTCCTTCTTCTCCAACTGCCCCCATCTTCAGCTTCATACTGCCCCGTAATCCAAACCCCCCTCTCCCTCCAAACCGCCACCATGCGCTTCTTCCAGGCTATCCTTTCTTCCGCGGCCTTTGCTGCTCTCATCGCCGCCCTCGAGATCAACGACTTCCCTGCCCAGGGTGTCGTTGCTGGCAACACCTACACCATCACCTACTCGCCGGCCGATGATGTCCCCACCACCTTCATCCTCCGCCAGGGACTGTCTACCGACCTTGATACCATTGGCACTCTGACCAGTACGTTTGCCCTCTCTCGGCAAGAATGCTCTTCCATGTACTGACTCTACTACAGCCACTGCTACCGGTGGAAAGTTCCAGTGGACCCCAAGCAAGGACCTCCCCAACGAGTCCGACTATGCTCTTGAGATCAAGCGCGGCGACACCGTCAACTACTCTGCCCAGTTCCCTCTTACTGGTGGCGCTGCCTCCGACAGCAATCCCGTCTCTTCCAGCTCGGCTTCTGCCTCCCCCTCGTCTTCCGCCGAGCCCTCTTCTTCGGCTTCTCCTAGCCCTTCGGCTTCCGCTTCCTCTTCCATGACCTCGGCTGCTTCCAGCACCCCCTCGGCCCCTGTTTCCACTCCCGCTGGCAACTCCACCGTCAGCTCTGTTACTCTCTCCCGTACCCATTCGCCTACGGCTCCCAGCACTCCCACCGGCTCTGCCAGCGTCCCCGAAGTCACCACTTCCGGCGCTGGCTCTCTCGCCAACCCTCTTGCCGCCATTGTCGGCGCTGCTGCTGCTCTGCTCTACTTCGCCTAAGCGTCCGGTTTTTTCCAACCTTGAGATATCCTGTCTTATGTTTTGTCCCTTGTACGATATATTAGCAATGGATAACTGTTTTTTGGAAAAGCAGAAAATCACATACCCTTGTAAACAGCCCTCTGGTTAAAGATGAAGTTACGCAAAGCAAAACAGGGCTGTTCAATGTTGTCGAGGTTGAAACGCTATGCAAAGAGCTTGTACAGCGGTAGCAGTAATGATAATATGGAACCTGGTATATACCCGTCTTCAAACACTTCATCTTCAATGCAGTCTGGTATTCGTCACCCTATCCAATGCCTTCTCCAATACCATTGCCCAATCTTCGCCACTCCTCGACGAATTACATGAAAGGTTATTCTGACATCTGATACAAAACCTTACATACTTTGCCTTTCGCATACCCTCTCCTGCCCTGTTCGCCGTGAAACACGCCTTGCTACACTAAGGCGCCCCTCCATAAGCCCTACCCGCATCCCGTCAATGCCGTCATCGTACAAGCAAGCAAGCAAGGGAAAAAAAACAGCGCCTCTCCCACTACTGCCGCATCCTCCGCGACAACGCCCTTTACCCAACTTGCATGATCGCGCAAACCCCCGCCAGTCTCTCTCCGCCTAGGTCACGTGGTCCTCCAGGATGACGTATAGCCCTCTCTACCTCTCTCTCTTTCTGTGGACCCCAGAAAAGTCTCCCACCGGAAACAAGCTTCAGTAAAACACTCGATTATCTTTTTGTCGCTTCACACTACCAACAGAACCACGGTTTGATAAATCGTCACCTAGCCTATGTGGTTTGGCGTCGGTTCCCACCCTTGGACCCACAGTGGGGTGGGGAAGGGCGGTCATGGGGTGTTCTTTGCTGAGTAGTATGCATGCACATGCGATTAAACACCGCCTAAAGTAGGGATTAAAGCGGGAACCCGCATCTAGGCAGAGGTGCGAAAAGCAAGAAACTGAGGGGTGGCAGGCGCGCATATGCAGGCAGCATCGTGCGGCTTGCATGCGTTGGTTGCCACACTGTATTTTAACTTCCCTTGTTTCTTTTTACTGGTGGCACTTTCGTCTTTTTTTTAGAAATGGGTGGAAGGTTGCAACTGCAAATGTGACCGAGAAAGGGCTCTTGTTTGTTGTTTAAAAGTGACATCAGATTATTTTTTCCGAATCTTTTTGCTTTTTGCCGCTGCGACATTATTTATTTTATTTTGCCTCATCAGGTGGTCATGTTTGTACGCCGGACGATGAGCTAGGCTGGTTAGCCTCGTGCTGCTGCAGATGTTGGTAAACCACCGAATTAGCTTTGCCGCAAGTGTACCGGATTCTTGGTGCACAAAAGTACTTTTGGTGCGAGGAAATGACGACGATGACGGTGATGGGAAGACTGTTTGGTGGAACTAGGATACCCAAATTGGCATGTGACGGATCAGAAAGGGCACGGGGAACACGCTGCTTGTTCGCTGGACAACGACGTAATTGCACATGTTGAAACTTGTTTTCTTTTTCGTGTTCCTGAGGCAGGGACATGTGCAGGGAGAGACGAAAAAGAACGTGTTCTTCCGAGTTTCCATGCATAAATTCTGGCTTGACAGACGTTGGGTAGGGCTGAAGAAGGGGTGTGTGTGTCGTTTCGTTTTTTTCCATGCATTACTAGAAATAGAACTAACCCAAGAAGTTTTTTTCAGAAAAAAGTAATTTAGCCTCACACAATTCAGGTATAAGAAACATAGATAGCAAGCTGTAGAATCATTTCGTAACAATGACTGCTCTAGCTCGAGAATACATTCAGGATGATAGATTCCAATGACGTCCAACAGTCTTCAGCTTATTCAAGTCCGCAGACGCCACGTCCCATCCATCAGCCTGCCATCCGCTCTTGAAATACTGAGCAGCATCCCCGGAGCCCTTGGGGTTCAATAGTGCCCAGTTCAGAGTAGCTTTGCCAAACATGCCGCCGTTGGGTTGCGAAATGTCGCCGAGGTGGCCAAGAGGCAGGATTCCCTTCCATTTGGGAGTACCAGCAGGAATATTCTTGAAGTCGTGTTCAGCCTGTAGGTCGAAGTCTTAGCCAGTATTCGCGAACAAACCAAAATGCCGGAAAAGAGGATATTGTGAGCATGCAAATCTTGGACATGATTCTGGACTCATAGTAGCATATCGACATGGAAGAACTCACATTGGGGGTTACTTGATCGGTCCGGCCACCCATAACGAAAAGAATTGGCTTCTTCCACGTAGATGCCAGATGAAACGTATCGTTATAGTAAAGGCCAGAGCTGAGAATTCCGACAATAGCAACTCGCTTATCAGGCAGATTAAAAGCAGCTTCCAGCCCATCACACGAGATGCCCGCTGCCATAATCCTGCTTGCGTCCACATTTGCGTATCTGCCTTTTCTAGCGTGTTTGTAAATCCAGTCAATAGCCTGCTTCATCGTCTTGTCGTTGGACGGGCCTTGCATGCTCAGGACACCGTCATGCGGCACGTTGTCTGGCGCCATGATGCCCTCGGAGATGGCGAGGAACCCGTTCGCAGCTACATGCTTGAGGAAGACTTGGTTCGAAGTACCGTCGATATTACAGGCGCTGTTGCCCCAGATGAAAACCGGAAATTTGCTCGAGTCAGCGATAGGGATGTCGCTCGGAAAGTAGATGGTGTGATTTGGGAGGCTGGAATCGACGTAGACCAAGATGTCGCTGCTGTTGTCATTTTGCTGTTGCAAACGTTAGCTTGCTAAGTCTAGTGAAGAAAGTTTCTTCCAAAAAAAGGGGAAATGTACGCGAATTTCTAATTGAAGGGGCGACGCAAAAACGCTGCCAACAGAGAGTGCTGCAAGAGCGAGCCTAAATGTGTACTTGATATCTGAAGGTGCAAAAAGAGCAACTAAACTGGGGTTTCAAGAGATGGCCGACATCAAAATGTATTATCTAACTGATTCAGCATGAAGTCGTGTTTTGTACGCTATTACCAATCTTTAAACTTTATCCAAGCTCGTATTTTCCCCCACTGGTGGACTTGATGCTACGTCCTAGATGATAGGGTAAGGCAGATGGCGAAAGTTTGTATATGATTGCACTAGCACGTTTGGTGCGATAAAACATGCCAGCCTATTCGCTCAAATGAATTTCAGAAAAGCATTTCCTCTTTTATTCTCGGCCCTACTCTTAGGTGCTGGGGTAATTGACTCGGCAGGGACGAAACACCGATTCGAGAACGTTTGTACAGGCAACATACACGACTACCCTCGACCCATTCTTCCTATTAATCTGTCATATTTTCATTTATCCGCCAAACCTTGTGTGGCTTCTCAAACCAACATGGCTCCTACTGCGCCCACTACTGCTCCAGTAAAAGTCCACTTGCAGTATCCCCTCCCGTGTGCAGCAGCAGCACCGGTAGGCTGCGAAGTCTCGGACAAATTTGTCGGGCTTGCACTGCTCGAAGAGGTCTCCGTAGTGCTGGTCCTACTCGGAGCACTCGTTGTTCTTGACTCTGATGATACGACTAGCGTAGTACTGACAACTGTGCTGCTGACAACCGTGCTGCTCGTCACAAACGTTGGCGTTTCAACAGTTATACTTGTTGATACGCTGTCGGATGTTGGGGGCAAAGTAGCGATTGGACTGTTGCTGATTGTGAATGGATCGCCCCATGTTGATGTTGGTGCAGCTGATGGCGAGGCAATACTAGGGATGAGGGCACTCGTCGAAGCAGCAGCTGGGGCTGAGACTTCGACAGTGAACGGTTCGCCCCAACTGCTTGTCTGTGCGTAGGAGACTCCGAGAAGAGACAAGAATACAGTCGTTCTCAACGGCGACTTCTTCATCTTGTTGTCCAAAACGAGTTGGCGTATCCGAATGTGATTTGTATCGGGAAAATATTGACTAGTCGATCTTCTGGATAGGAGCCGTAGTAGTAAAGTGCTGGATTCTTCTCTGTTTCCTTGGCTAATGGAGCCGAATCTATGATACCGACGCTCGAATCTGATTTTCTATGAGGAAAATCATGACCCGGTTCCTCCACGCTTTTAAGACGTCCCTTGCAAGGCTCTCCTCGGCATCCCTGCTGAGCTCATTCTCCGAGATCATCTTTTCAGGCTTACTCTTTACGTCTCTTTTGCTCCCGAAGCAGAAGTGTGTGGCGTTTCTTTGTATCGAAGCAGCCTAGATTTACGTCGGTGGTGGATTGATGTGCTGGCGTGGTGACACGTGATTGGTGAGCCTGCGCAAATCTCGGGTCTCCGCATCGCGCATATGCGAGACAACGGGCAAAACATAACACCGCGTCGCCGTTTATGTCGGCATTCTTGACGGAGATTTTACAGGACGCGCGGCAGTTAGTAAAAAATATGCAGTGGTTTCTACGAGCGATATATGTTATGGTTGTGGAAGAAGTGGCACATGGGCAACATAGAAGTCGCAAGTGAATGGAGTAAGCATAATGTTTCCGACCTTTTTCATCCTACTCAGGTAACAGAATTTTCCAAAGTTTGATTATCATTTGCACTATTTCATATCCAAGGCTGCAGTAATACTCAAGTAATACTATGAGCGTGCTCTATCCTGATAGAATCCAACAACACAAAAGGACGATCAATCATGTCGTCAAAAACATTCAGTCAGACGTTCCATATACAATTCACTCACATTTGTAGCCTCCATTGCAGGATCACAAACGTTACCATGACCTGGGCGTTTGCTCATTGCAAATTTTCACATTCACCTTGAGGTGAGTGCGCTAGCACGACTCACCTCGAGGTCACAACGCGCGAATTTAATTCCTCTACCTTCTATCGCTCGCAAAGCCTCCCACATAAACACAAGACGCGGAATTCAGCGGATTGTGTTGCAAATATGGCGACTCCAAGTCCCCCAAAAGCAACCAGATCCAATCCACCAAAAAAAGCACTATTCTTTGGGTCAGTGTATTCGTTGCTCATGTTCGCATTTGGAGACAATCGAATCTAACTTTACTTCAGAATCAGCGCAAAACAGAGTTTCGTCGTCATAAAGGTTGGACCAGAGAAAGTCCCATATGAAGTACACAAGGCTTTACTCACACACTACTCCGAGTATTTCTCCAGCGCTCTTAATGGTCCATGGAAGGAGGCACAAGAAAACTCAATCACCCTCAACGATATTGACCCGAAGACTTTCGGAATTTTCGTTCACTGGCTATACACTCAGAAGATTGCAACAGAAGAAGAAGTCAACCACATACTCGAGACCCATCCATGCGACGAACATGATGACAATCCGTACATCACTGTTCTGACAGAAGCCGTTGTATTCGGTGACAGGTTTCTGGCCCCCGATTTTCGCAAAGCTGCACAAAATCACACCGTTGACTACATCTGTCGTCAAAATGGAAAACACATGGTTCCTTTTCTCTATGCTAGCAAGTATGCTTTCGAGAACTTGCCAGACAGCCATAAACTCTGCAAATTTCTCATCGTTGTGCATTGCCATTACATGAGGTACCATGGGGGCTACATGGATGGTCTCATGACTGGATGGTATAGAGACAATCTGCCACGCACATTCCTTGTTGGACTCATAAAACGGTACACCGTCTTGGCAGAGATATTGTCATACAGTGGTTATGGACCCGACGACCGCTGCACTTATCATGAGCATGCAGACAGGCATGAGCGAAATGAATGTAAACAGGAAGCAATGCGCAAATAGGCGAGGGAGACATGGGACAGTGATCTCGAAAGACTCGTTGAGAAGTGGAATGGATGAACTTCGGAAGGAACATCTCAACACAGAACATCAAATGACATGCGAAAACTCGCGGGGAATGTATAAAGAGGCCCATGGGTAGGTTGAACTGACAGCCTAAAACTTCCATGCTTCCATGGATGTATCCTAAAGACGAATGAAAAATTCATGCGGTGAAAACTATGTGTACTGGCGTTATCTGCTCTTTGAACGCGTCGCTATAGTGAAACATTGCAATCTGCCGATGTCTTCGTCGCATCTGCATCATCTTAATCATCTACAAACTCGGCTTGATGTCCGTCACGATAACATGGCCTGAGCACATGGCAAAAGCTCCAGAAAGATATTCTTTACGAACAAGAATTTGCTTTTGACACACTGCTACCCAAGCTACGTACCGTTCTTAACCGCCTGTCATATGACTGATGGCCTGATATGTCATGTTATTAAATAAATAATTCCTCCTTGTTCCATGCATTCCAAACTGATCACACGGAAGTAGAATAAAAAAAGAACTATTCATCTCGCGATACACAGACACACACTGAGCTGGTAAGCAGTCGTCTAAGAGTAAAGCAATCGTAATGACTATCTGACTTCCAATGCACAAGTATCAACAACAAGCCAATCCCACATCCACCACCAAATGCAATAATTAAAAAGGGAACCCAGAGAAACCTCAACATCCAAGCCCACAAAAACCGCCTCTGCCATATTTCCAGATGCATCGATGCCACGCAATTAATCTCCCCAAAATCCAGAATCCAACGCAAAACCCAAGATCTTGACACCCCTTCGAACCTCCCCTTCCCTCTCAGACCCAGAATCACATGACCACCGGTAATCATTTGGCGCAAATCTAATAATCAAACTTATCCACAAACTCATACTCGTGCTCATCCTCATCCTCGTGCTCATCCTCGTCATCGTACGCATCCTCGTCGTACTCGTCGTACTCATCGTACTCATCATACTTACACTCATCGTCCTCGTCATCCTCTTTCTCGTCCTCATCATCCCCAACCATTTTTCTCTCCCAATAAAGCTGCACCCCAGGCATTGGACTGGAGACCTGGGGAACCTCAGACTTGTCACTGGCATCCAGGCTCTTCACCTCGTCCTCGGACTCGTCATCACCCTCTGAACTCTTCGTATCGGCAGACTCGTCGTCCTCGTTGTCGTCGCTGTCATCACCCTCGACCTGCTCCTCCTCGTTTTCCACCTCCTGCTCCTTCTTAACCGTAGTATCCAGCTTCGAATCAACCATATCCGTAATAGCCTTATCCATCTCCTTGCCCTTCTTCTCCTTGTCATCATCATACCTATCCTCCTTGGCAGAATCCTCCGTCTCCTCCTCCTCGTCACTATCCTCATTCCCCGTCCTCACCTTCCACCACTTAGTCGCCCTGAACTCTGCAAGCTCAACCAACATCTTCTCAAGCTCGCCCTCAAGCGACCACTTCTCATCCCTCAGCAGCGCAAAATCATCTTCCAGGCTCGTAAACTTGGCTCGAAGCTTTTCAGCCTCGCGCTTCAGGTCGTCGTTGAGCAAGGTCAGCTCGCCGTTCTTGGCGCTGGCTTGGTTCAGGGCGGATGTCATGTCGGCGATTTGCTTCTCCATGGTGGCATGCGTGGAGCGATACATGCTGTACCAGACTTCGCAGCGCTGGCGCATCGACGTGACTTGGTCCCGGAGGTTGCGCATCTCGGCCAGGGTGGCGGAGCTGGCGGAGAGGGAGTGGCGGACCCAGGATTGGTGCATGAGGGCTTCTTGCTTGCGCTGTTCTTCGCAGGTGTCGAGGCAGGTTTGCAGGCGGTGCACTTCGACTTGGAGGGTTATGAGGCCAGTGGACTGCGATTCGATTGTCTTGTGAGTGCTGGCAAGTTCGGCGATCGTCGAGTTGAGCGTGTTGCGCAGCGTGCCCAACTCCTTGCGGCCGTTGCTGTATGTGACTCGCTCTCTGGCAAGCTTTTCAACCGCCTCCTGTTGTCTCTTCTGAGCTGCCTCGAGGGCCTTGCTTGTTTCGTTGCGCGTGTTTGAGGCTTCGAGCAGTTGATTTTCGGCGGCGGAGAGTTTGCCCTCCATTTCTGAAAGGTGAGATTGAAGCTTTGTCACCTCCGCAGATGCCTCGCGATGTTTTCTTTGTGCTGCCTTATAGTTGCATGAGTTGATGATTGCCGATTGGGTGATATCGTAAAAGATGGCCCCAACGGCACACAAGGTGATTGCAACGGCAGCAACCACTCCCCCGTCAAACTCTATAAGCTCGAACATCTTTTTCTCGACGAGGTCGGGTTTTGGTTTGAGGGTGACGTCGGACTACAAGTGTGCTGTATACGTCTTGCTGTTGGATCTGTGTTATAATCAGTTGTTGAGAAAGAACGTGGAGATGCAATCCAATTTTAATATCTCTGAAAACATCATGCAAATAATCCGTGGGATGATACTTTGGGTGGAACGAGGTAAATGACCAGCTGCCCATGGTCAACAATTCTCGCTCCAACCAACCATGAATTTGGTGAATGTGGCTACCGCAAACATCATGTCAAAGATGGGTGGGGTTTGGGTCGTGGACGAGACCAATCTGACACGTTAGGGCGTCGGTAACTGGCCTGAACGTTTGCAATATGGCCTATGCACTAATCACAACCATGGGTACCATTGTGATCATGTACATATCAGTGGTTTGGACGCAGCTTTCGAAATATCGTCCCATGTGTAGCAGGAGAAATTACCACGCATTTTTTTTTCACGAACCACAGTATCCAGACAGGTGAACAAGGAATGTAATCGAAATCGATAATCTTATTTCTGGCTCAAAAACCTATACTTTTATGATAAAGCTCATCAACATGAAGCAAACCATAGACCTGCATGGGCGAATGGAAGTGATACATGGAGGCTAGTTTCTGTTTTCTATGCATCCTTACTGGTTGAGCTCGACGTAGTTGGCAGGGAAAAGACCCGATTGGCCGTTGAAGCTGCCGAGCCACCAGTCCTCGTCGGGAAATTCCTAATGTCACATGTCAGCATATTTTCGAATAGTAGACGTAGTAGTCGATATAACTTACCAGACCGGTAATGGTAGCTCCTTCAGGGAAGCTCAGTTCATTGTCCTCTGCGGCCTCATAGTCGTAGAGAGCAGTCGCGGTAGGACCTGAGCCACCAGCAGCTTGTGGTGCCGCAGCAGGCTCTGGCTCCTGCACTGCAGAGGGATGCGTAGGTGGTGGCGGTGCGGCCGCAGCACCAGCATCACCACCCTCAACCAGCTCGACGTAGTTGGCAGGGAACAGACCACGCTCGCCTTGCGAGTTGGTACCCATCCACCAATCCTCGTCTACCATGTCGATGTCGGTGACATATTCGCCGTCACGTAGCTCCACCTCGTTATCTTCGGCCTTTTCATAGTCGTACAGGATGACTGCACGCTTTCCAGAGCCGCCTGCGGCCGCCGGCTCATCGTCATCGTGACTAGCGGCAACAGCAGCGGCACCAATGGCAGCACCACCGACTGCAGCAGCGCCAAACGTGGCAGCGGCAACTGCAGCACCGGCACCGCGAGCGGGATCCTTGGCCTCAACCTGGGGCTCGGGGGAGATGTCACGGGCCTGCTGGGCTGCTTGGTTCAACGAACGAGTAGGCATAGCTGGTGCCTTTTCCTCGGCAGGAGAGAGTTCTTCTGGCTCTCTTCCGCGTGCAACGGGCATGGCGATGCGCACAGGTGAACCAGAAGGCTCGGGAGATGGGCTGCGGGGCCTCCGAGGCGGGGAGGGCAGACGCTGGTGCTGAGTTGCGCGAACCTCCTCCTTTTCCTCTTCTGGTTCTGATTCTGGCTGCTTAGGTCGGCTGGGAAGGCCGGGCAGAGAAACACCGCCCCTTATGCCTGCGTTGGGCTTGCTCGAGTTGTCAAGAGGCGGTGGGCTATCAGCCGCCACGGGCTCGGGCACAGGGCGACTGCTTGGGGCTCCCATTGGTGCAGCGCCCGAGAAGCGGTCCTTGAGGGAGCTTACACCTCCAGAAGGAGAAGTTGGTTCTTCTGCTTGCTGCTGCGGTGGTGGCGAGCCTCCCGTCCGCTGCTCATTGAGATTGGCGGCACCCGTTGGGCCTGTTCGAGTGGTTTGTACCGGCGCCCATGATTTGCCAGAGTAACCACTCTGCCAGCCACCACCTCCACTTGGCTGGCTTTGAAGGGGGTTAGGGCGACTTGCAGCGTCGGGAGCAGGTGCTGAAATAGATTCGCCGCGGGCTGCCTTCTTCTCGGCCCAAATTTGTGCAGGCGTCTTTCCTCCCTCATCAGCAAATGTCTTGCTTGCTGCACCGACAATGGGCGCAGGGACTGCGGGCGCTGCACCGAAACCTCCAGGTGTAGGAGCCTTTGTTCCTGTGAATGCGCTGGCACCAGCGAACTTGTTGGCAACCTTTGGTTTGGGCATGCTGGTAAGGCGTTCGGGCTGCGACTTGAAGGCTGCGGACCTTTCGGCGAGCGACTTTGGCGTCTCATCTTCCTCGTCCTTGGGAGCTCCAGGAGATGGGGGAGCGGCTTGGGCCTTTGCACGAATGGCTGCGATGTCAACCTTGCCAACGGGCTCATATGCGCCCTTGACTACAGTCGGTCGGTCGTCTTTGGCATCCTTTGCTTGAGCTCGGATAGCGGCAATATCAACCTTTCCAACTGGCTGGTATGCACCCTTGACAACCTCGGGGCGGTCGTTTGACGAAGAATCGTCTTTCCTTGCGGTAAGCTCGGCCATGTTGACCTTGGTGGGCGTGTAGGCAGTGCCCACCTTCTCCAATTGCGACCTGGAGACGGGCGGGGCATCGGCGCCCCAGCCATCACGGTCCTCATCAGCCTTGGGAGCGGGTGCACGCGAGCGTCCCAGCGGGTTGAAGCCGGAGCCTGCGCCTCCTATTGATGTGGGTGTGAATACAGGCTTCTTCGCAACGGGAGGTGGGGGGCGAGACGAAGGGATGGCGCCGCCTCCAGAGTACTTTGCGCCGGACGCGTCTGCAACCTTTTGGACAATCTTCTCGGGGCTGAGGTCGTCCTCGGAGCGAGCGGTGACTTGGACGTGGTATCCCTGGAAGAATTAGATGTCTGGCGGGAAAAGCTCGGGGATGGTCAGGCATACATGCAAAAGCTTGGAGACCACCGTAAGGTGGCTGCCAAAGTAGCCCTTTGTCCGCTCCGGGACGCCTTGACCGCACTGCGTGTGTGTTAGTCATGTATTTGCCGCAGTCTCGGCGCCCAACTTACCCAAGCTATCAGGACATTCTTAGGCAGTGACGAATTTGGGTCCTTGACCTTGACAAAGGCAAACTGGATGCGGCCCTCTGAGAACTCATCGACCAGGTCGGCCAGCTCGCCCTCTACACAGAAAATCAGCAATTGGGCTATTTGGGACTGCAGGTTTCTGGTGCGGGTGGTGCTGGATAAGGCGCCGATATCCGAGCTTGGGCTGACGGCTCAGCAGCGGTCAGGCAGCTGCCCGTCTTGGGCACCCGGGCCCCGGACACGGGAGGAAGCAATTGAGGAATTCAGACCACGGCACATACCTCCAGTGCTCTGGACCTTGAGGACACTCTCCTTTCCGCTGTCGTGCTGGAAGGCGCTGACGAGCGGGGCAGCTACTGTGAAGACGGCCCATTGGCCATATGTGGGTGAGCTGGCTTGGGGACCGGTTGGGGCAGGAGCATTGACGATGCTCTGGTAGCTCTTTGTGATGTTTGGGCCATTGCTGGAGGTGTTGAGCGTGGCCATGGTGGGCGGAGTGCGGGGGGGGNGGAGAGGAGGGGGGAGAGAGAGGAGGGGAAAAGAGGGGTGGGCTGAGCGTGTGGAGGAGGTGGAGGGGGAGGAGGAAGAAGAAGAGGAAAAGAAGAGGAGGAGGACGAGAGGAAGAAGCACCAGGCGGGCAGCGGCAGCTAGCAGCACGGTGGTGGTGGTGGACAGCTCAGCGTGTGTACGCGTATGGATGCGGCAAGCGGATGATGGGTTGTGCTTGGGCGGCAGGGCCGAGCGGTGCTATGTCATATGGCTTGGCAGGCCGGGGCGTTCTCACGCACGCACAGGCGCAGCTGGTGGTGTGTCTCTCTGTGTGTGTGTGTGGCGGCCGGGGAAGGCTGCTGGCAATGGCGTGCAGGCGGCAACGGCAGCCTCGCGCCCTCGACCGCCACGGCCGCCTGCTTAGCTGCGTTCTAGCCGGCCCATTCACCTCCACTCTGCCACGACAACCCTCCACCTGGCCCCCGACAACACACCCGCCGCACCGCTTTTTCCCAACCACGCTGCTCCACGCGCGCTGCGCGCTGCTGCTCCCGCCTGCTGCGTGCCTTTATGTCTCTAGCCTGCCCCAACAACCCCCATCACCCCATCCACCATGGCGCTCGTCTAGGCTGGCATGCACGTCGACGGCTGTAGCACACCATGGAGGACCGCGAGTCGAGCGTAGTGTCGTCGGTCGACTTCTACTCCTCCGACGCACTCCCCAACCCGCCCACGGCCCAGCCCCAGGCTGATGGCCATGGCCCGCCGCCGCCGCTGGGAAAGCGCAAGGCGGAGGACGGTGTCGACGAGGAGCGCCATGCTCCCGCTCACCACCACACCCACCACCACACCCACCACCACCACCATGCCCAAGCCCATGCCCATGCCCGCAAGCGCAACCGCCGCGCCTCATCCCCCTCGCTGCTGCTGCCCGGCTCTCTGTCCGGCTGCGCAGGGCTGCCACCCCAGCTGTGGCAGCACGTCTTCTCCTTTTGTTCGCTCGCAGATCTCGGTCGATTGATCCAGGTCAATCGATCTTTTCATTGCTATCTCACAGACGTGCGCAGCGCCTCGACTTCAAAGTCGGGCCCTGGCCGTCTGCATCTCCTAAAGTCTGAATCGTTGTGGGCCTCTGCCCGCAATGCACTGTGTACAAAGCCCCCAAAGCCTCTCCCGGGCTTTACGGAGCTGCAGATGTGGCAGCTGGCCTGGTCCAAGAGGTGCCAGTTCTGTAACAAGCTTGATGCTTACTCTCCAGGCGAGCGCATCTGGCAAAAGGGCCCTGGTCCTGCTGGTGTGCGCGTCATCTGGCCCTTTGCCGTCAGGGCGTGCGGACCGTGTCTGCTCGAGCAGTGCCAGACGGTGAGTATAGAGTCGCTCCTGCCGCTCGCAAAGAGTCGCCACTGACTTCCCAGGACGCGAGCCTTCTCTTCTCGGCAGCCTCTGCTCTCCGCCCTGCCCTGCCCTTCGCCCTCCTCACAAACGACCAGCACTACGTGCCCGCTTACATGCTGCAGTCTGCGACCACGCCCGCCCACGTCGACATCGCAAAGTACTACTACAAGAAGCACGTCGACGAAATCACCCTCGAGCTCAACGACGCCCTCAGCCGCGGCCCTCAAGCGGCCGAAGAGTGGTCCAAAGGCCTGGGCGCCAGAGGCAAGGAGCGCATCAAAGTCGCCGAAAATTGGGAGCGCTGGGAGGCGAGGCACCAGGCCATGGAAGAACACACAGCAGGGCCGAAGCGCGCTGTCTCTGCAGCTCCCTCACATGCCGCCACGTCACACAGCAACAATCCCTCCAAATCGCCCCCACACCGAACACCCTCTCCTATAATTCACGCCCCGGTTCCAGCGAGTAAGTATGCTTCTGCTGTCTCATTTGCTGCCAGACATGGCAATGCGTCTCGACATCTTGACAGCACCCCTCCAGTTCGCAACCTAACAGCGGTAGCCCCATCGTCCCAGCACGCCCAGGCGCGACCCCCCACGGCTCCACCACAAGCCTTCACCCCGTCTGGTCAGAGGAATCTCCACGATGCAAACGAAGCCAAAGCGACTCGAAAGACCGACATAGAGCGTCGGTGTCAGCTAATGGATCCTCCAATTGCCCCAAACATCTTGCGCCACATGGACTCCTTCAAGGCGGCTATCCAGATTTCGCAGCCAATGAACGACTATGCATGGAGTGTGCTGCAACCCCGCTTGGTAGCCCAACTCCCTGCGGCCCAACAAGCAGAGGCTGACCACGTGTCCCGCGCTGCTTCTCTAACCGCCAAATCCTTGGACCGCCGCCATCTGGATGCAAACTCTAAAGAGGCCAAGGAAGCCATGGATCGGGACTGGGAAGAAACACAACGCCCTATCCGCGACAGACTTGATGCCATTGCTGAGGAATACATCGATAGGGTTTGGGATCATGGCCAATCTGTAACTCACGAAAACAGCCCAAAGTTTGCAGCCGACCTCCTGGCGCATGTTCGGCGCATCTTCTACGCCGACAAGACAGAAAGCGATGCTACTCAGCAGGTCCAAAAGGTACCGTCTTCTACTGACAATGCAGATTCGCGGCCGAAATTAGTACTCGAAAACATGAAGTGGGTATACGACAACAAAATCAAGCCTCTCACCGAGCCCTTTCGCAAGGACATTTTCCTTTGCTATGGCAGTGGTTGCGAACACAATAACAAGTACTACGGCTTTGAAGGCGTCGTTCAACACTACGGAGCCAAGCATACAGCCGCCTTTAGCTCCGGGAATGTCGTGGTTGCTTGGAGAGAAGCCGAATGGCCCGAGGATCCACCTTTCCATCCGGATCCTATGTCTGTCAAGAATCCACTCCTCACCCATCACCCTGCAGCAACCACAGGTGGGTATGGAGGCTACTACGGTGGATACTCCCGTGCGGGGACAGCGACCCCACACATGCCAACACACCTTCCGCAAGCAAGTCCCGGGCCGTACAACTATGGAAACCAATATGCAGGACCATTTGCCCCGCCACAGATGCCTCCTGGTTCGATGAATGGATTGGAGTATCCACAGCCGTATGCGACCCCGGTGGATGTTTACTCACACCAGGCAATGGGCCCCCCAGGATATGCTGCCCATGCTGCCCAGAACCCTTACTTGACGTCTCCAGCAATGATCAATAATGCCATAGCACCACCCCCTCCTCCCAACATGCCACCACCCGGCCACGGGATGCCTGAGACCGCTCTTAACGGTACAGAAGATACTGGTCAGAGCACTAGCTCGTTTGACAAGCAAGTAAGTACCGTTATCGAAATGACGCAGGATATGTGGAAGCGTACCTCTGGTATCAAGGACATGCCGAATAGCCTCCGCGTCTACGTGCTGCTACACCGCGTCATCTCAAAGTTTCATGTAGAGTTCAACCATGAACCAAACCTGAATCACTTCATCGATGCCCTTTCCAATCATGAGATTCCCAAAGCATTGAGAAATGCGCCAGGGCTCTCGTGCAAAGCCTGCCAGATTGGTTCTATACACCATCCCACAAGTTCTTTCTACTCCAAGTCCGAAGAGAGGATTACGTATACTGTGTTGAACCTAATGACACATTTCCGGAATCAGCATCAGCCATACCAGCAACCCATTCCTGGTCACGGAGTTCCGGCTGTAAGGCTCGATTGGAAAGAAAACATGATCGAGCTACCCAGTGAACGTTTCATCTCTGGTTTGATTCACGCTCCAGGTATGGATGACGAGAAACTGCTCATGATTGCGACGGTCTTTCCCAGCCTGTTCCCCATGCCCCTGCCCAAGATTGACGTGATTGATACCCATGGGTTGGCCTCACCTGCCTCTTCTGGCCCCAAGGACACGGACAAGACGTCTGGTGCAATCCATGCCCCAAGCGAGTCAGGAGGACCTCCCGCTTCTTCGATCATGGCTGGTCCAGAAGCTCACACTTCGTTGCCTGCAAAACCACCGGACACTGGCTATGACCCTCATCGTTCAGCTCTCTCAAGCGAAGCCAATGACCCACCAAACTCTATGAATACCAAAAGGTTTTACCGAGAGGGCTCGCCTGCGGAGCGTAGGCAACACCATTATGCCGAAGCTCGCTACTACGTAGGTTACATGAGGTACTTCACCAAGTCTAACCGAGCACTAATCATTGTTTAGATGCCAAGAGATCATCTGGATGACGGGTATCACCGCCCTCGTGAGTATGTAGAATATGCACCTAGTCCTAGGATTATTCATGCAGGTCCTGCATACGACGAGTACACTGGTCGCCGAACGGCATTCCGCGAGCAAGAGCGATACTACGGACCACCAGAAGACATTGTCTACGCACACCCGCGTGAAGGAAGTCATGGTAGCCGGGAGTACAGTGCCTATCCACGCCCAGTCAGGTACTACGAAGAAGACGATCATCGGCCTGATTACCGCTACATGAATGAGCGTCCACCACAGGATGCCAGCCCACTACAAGGGCAATCTGCGGCAGACAAGTTCCTGGCAGAGAACGAGCCTCCCCAGCCTCCGCCACCACCGCAGCCAGAAGGCGAAGCCCCGGCGCCGATCCATGAAACCGAAGGAGGATCTCGTTACACGCCTCCGCCTCCAGAAGCTCCTGCGCCAGTTGAAGCTAGCGCACCAATTCGTCCACTAGGCCCACCGCATCCTAGAGCACCATCAACTGTTTCCAACAGCTCTAGATTTGATGATTATCAATCCAACGGACATCGTATGCCGATGTCTGGGCCGAGTGGCCCACCACCGCGAAGACCTGGACCCCAACGTCGTAGAGATCGCCCCTATGAACACCGTGGTCACTCTCGCTACCAACGCTACATGAGTGTCGCCCGCGATGATCCATATGGCCGCGGGTCCAGCATGAGTCGATCGCAGAGCAGGAGATACGAGGAGCAACGTCGTCGTCTGGATCAACAAGAGACGCCACAACCCAACGCTGAACCTGACTATGAGCCTGACTACTCAAGGGAGCACAGCATTGACCAGCCCGGACCAGACGATGGCTATTATCCACATGCACGTCGCCATCCACGTGGCTACGTATCGGTGCAAGATCGTATGCATTCGCACGGTCCTGCATACTCGCCACCGCGATATCGATATGATGAACCTCGTGGGCCGCAACCAGTCTATGTCGACGAGTACGGTCACCCCATCCATGAGTATGAAGTGATTCGTGTGCGAGGCGACCCCAGACAGCGTGGGCCATACTTGCCCCATCAACCTCGTTACGAACCAGAACCTTATGGATACGTTCCAGTCCAATACGAAAGGCCACCACCACACAGGTACAACAGCCGCCCTGAAGAGTATATGTACTACGAAGAGAGGGAGAGGCCAGTGCCGAGGAGGCCAGTGCCAGAGGCCGAAAGTGACGTGTACGAGCCTCAACCAACCGAAATTAAGGTTGAAAGTGTGCCGGTACCTATGCCGCCGGAAGCGCCCTAATCGCCGCCAGCACGGGGTGCTCAGAGAATGTAATGACGGGGTTTAATCTCCTTGTATCTTGTCTGATATCTTGGGATTTTGCATAGCCAAGGTGTCGTCGGCTTCTTCAAGTTTATGATGTATTGTTTTCTTGGGAGGTTTGCTCTGAATGTTCTATCTTATTTCTAATTCTAGCTGCAACTGCACGAGGAAATACGAATTAATTGGCTTCAATTGGCTTTGCCACCATTTTTGACCATCCTGACCAATATGTACTGAGATGTTGTGAGACTTGGTTTTAGGCAGGCCTGCTTAGCTCGTCATGTGATTCTGCTGAGTTGTAGTAATAATACTGACATTTTTCCCGCTGTTCTGATAGCAGCGGAGCCGCAGGAAAACTTGAATGCGTACCAAGGCAACACGAGCATTTAGTTTTGGATTGGTTCACAGAAAAACAAAGTACTTTGAGAGGAAATAACTTTTTTGGTTGGCATATCTGCCTTCTAAGGGTATCAAAAGGGGAATTTTTTTTTAGTAAGAGGGGGAAAATGGGAGAGATGGCCCGACTAGACTGTCGATTTGACGACTGGCTCTGCTGAGGACTTTTCCTCTACGCCTTGAGCAGCGGCATCAATCTTGTTTTGAGCAAGACGCTAGGCAATCATTAGCAACTTAATTTTCCAGCAAAAGGTTAGGGGGGGGGGGGGTCTGAAGTCTACATACCAGCAAGTTCCTCAGCAAGACAGCAATGGTAACCTTTCCAATTGCGGGAACATAAATGGAAGCCTTCTCCTTGACCTCTGGAGTGAAATTCCTCTCACTGGAGAAATTGATGCAAGCAGCACCATCGCGCATGAGCTCCAGCGGGACCTTGTACTTGTCGCCGGGGACGCCGCTAATCACAACGTCGCTGAGCGGCAGACAATCCTTGAGCGTCCAGCCGGGCTTCTCGACAACCTCATGCCGCCTCTTGCGCAAGCCGACACCGCGCGTGAATTCCTGCACATCGTTGATATCAACACTGTACACCTGGGCGCCATCATTCGCCAGCAGCGCAGCCAACGGCCTGCCGACGACCTCACTGCGATTGATAACCGTAATCGTGCGTCCGTGCAGGCGATTGCCATACGGCAGGATGGTATTGTAAATGCGGAGGTACTCGAGGATCTTGATGACGGCCAGCGGGGTGCAGGGCAGGATTGATTTTTTCGTGTTGGAGGGCTCGTCGAGGAAGCGGATGTTTTGGTACATGTTGAAAATGTAGCGGTGCGAGAGGCCCTCGACGTCCTTGTCGATGGAGACGATTTGCTGCAGGTATTGGTCTTGGCGCGAGCCGAAGATGGGGTAGTAGACTATTATGCCGTCGACGGCGGGGTCGGCGTTGGCGTCGAGGAGTGCGTCTTCGAGCTGGTCGCGGTCGGTTTCGCGGAGGGAGAAGGAGAAGCCACTGTTTCGAGGGAGTTAGATGTCGTTTAGTTGTTGAGTTTTTTGTTTCTCCCTCTCTTTTTTGTTCGCGCTGTTTATCTCGTCTTTCTTCTTTTTTTTTCTGGGGTTCATGTTGGGGGTATTTCTGGTAAAGTGCCTGCTAAAACAAATCGTTTGCTCACTTTTCAACACAGGTTTTGCCCGTCCATTCTGCGTAGACTCGCGCAGCGGGATCGGCGCTGGATAGAAATCCGACGAGGAGTGGCTTGCGTCCGATTTTGGCCAAGCCCTCGCGCACCTCGTCAAGAAGGCCTTTGGCGATGTTGTTGGCGAGGATGACTTTGCAGTTGGGTTTGTCGTCGGCCATGGTGGGGTAAAGTGTTTTTGGGGGGAAGGGATGGGGTGAAAATCTGGGGGGAAAGTGAAAGGCTGGGTCTCCCAGAGAAGCGATATTTATACAACGGCCACTGTTTTTGCTGGAACAGCGGCACTTCTGGTTTGACTATTTTTAACAGATGCTCAATTTACTTACTCGCCGAATTGTCCTCCTACAACAACTTTTTTTTTCTGCGCGCGGGCGGGCTTGTGCCCCACCGTCCGATACCGGCCAATCAGCAGCTCCGCAACTCCGTAACGTCATGGCGGGAGTGTGTGGGTTTGGCTCGCGACTTGTTAAACCACATTTTTGATATCCGCCTCTCAACTGCCAGAACGTGAGAATGTCGGATATTCAGAAATATCTGCTGGATTTTGACAAGAATAAGAAGGAGGCGACTGCAACTGCTCAGGCGAGTGCGACGCGTATGTATGAGGCTTTCTGGAGGGGCACTGGGGATGTGGGGGACATGGTGTGCTGATAGTAGACAGGACTGAAGAATGGCGAATTGAAGCTGATTAGCTTGGTCACTGACCTTGGGGAGTATTTGAACAGCGAAGATGGTGCGACACGGTCCAAAAGTAAGAAATCATCGGGGTTCTGGTGTGTATAGTGCTAATCCCCTCCAGCCATGTCATATCTCGCAGAGGTACTTGCTGCCACTCCGCAAAAAGTTCTGTCCCTGCAGCAACGTACGTAAACCAACAATCTTCCTCCCATACGTGGTTAAAGCATCTGCGCGTGCATGAGCCGTCGCAACTCCCACGCTCTTGCTTGAACCATACCGAGATATCGACGGCATATCGGCACGAGGATGAGGCGACATGTCAGTCAGAAATATGGGGCTAATTTTGGTACCCAGGAAATCTGCTATGCGACTTTACCCTTTCTCGGACCGAAGACAACGAGGGCCTAGGATCATGCGCAAAGGCGTTGTTGGCGCTCGAGGAGCTCGGAAAGTGGGATGACCAACGGGTCGTTGCTATAGTCGAGGCGCTCCTCTCCAACACCCACCCATTACGCCAGTACAAACAGCAGAGCGAGCGATATCCGGTACTACAACTCATAAATACCCTCATGGCCAAGTACCGCGAAGTCCTTCGAGCCCACCACGATACGACGCCCGACTTTATGGCGCGCTTCATATCATACTTTGACGGAGAGAAAGATCCTCGGAACTTGATGGTTGTGTTTTCGATACTGAGGGTTCCGATGACTGAGTGGAGTATTGGCGGTGATGCGCAAGATCTGTTCGATGCTGTATTCAACTACTTTCCTATTACGTTCCGACCACCACCCGACGACCCATATGGAATTACCGCTCAGGACCTCAAGGACCGATTACGAGACTGCATTTCTTCCACAGCCGATTTTGCTCCTTATGCTTTCCCCGCGCTTCTGGATAAGCTCGACTCTACATCTATGAACACAAAGCGAGATGTGCTAACGACGATCACTGCTTGTGTGGAAGAATACGGACCAAAAACGGTGTCACTATATGCTGTGACATTATGGGACGCTCTGAAGTTTGAAGTACTCAATGTGCAAGAGGAGGACCTCGCCCAAGAAGCGCTCAAAGCCCTGGCCGCAATCGCAAAAACTCTATCGCAGGGTACCCCAGGATCGCTGAACGCATATCTCAAACCGGTCATCAAGGAATGCAACGAGCATCTTGAAGATGCCCCTACAAAGCAATCACAAGCGTCCGCAAGGTTTCTACAAAGCATTGCCAACGTATCCCCAGAAGTCACTAGCATTCTCCTCGCGGGAGTACTGCCCAACCTCTTTCTTTTGTTTCAAACGGCAGATACAATGGCCAAGCGCCGGGGTTTGTTGGAAGTTCTTGTTCAATTGGTAAAAGCCAACATTGATGTTTACGGTGACTGGAGAAACATAGGTTCAGGCGGCGAACAAGCCGGCAAGAATTCGCTGGCTGAATTCCGAGACCAGGCCCTGGAGGTGATGCTGAATGGACTTGAAACAGCGCCTGTCAAAGAGGTATCTTTCCGGTTGGTATGTCTCGATGGTCTAGTCCAATTGTCCAAAACCCGCGGACTTTTGAGCGATGAGGATGTTGGCAGGATTATCCAGTTGCTTCACACAATTGTTGTTCACGAGGAATCATATGGAAAAGATGAGGTCAAGGAGGCGGCAATTAACGGAATCGTCGAAATTGCACACCAGAAGCCGCAAGTTGTTGTTGATAAGGCCTTTCCAGCTTTCCTGGCCCAGCTACCGGATACAGACACAGGCGGATCTCAGAGCTACTCTACCGTGCTCGAAGCTTTTGCTAAGCTCGCTAGCGAAGAACAGGTTTTTAACACCGTCATAATACGTCTCAAGAACAAATTCAGCGTAGCGGTGCAGCAGGGTGCCTCTTCAACATACATTGTTGCACTCCTCTCGGCAATCCTGTATGCGCTAAAGAAGGGCGAACGCAAACTGTCTGAAGGTTCGGGAAGCTCGACATACTACAAGGACATTGCACTACCATTGATCCAACGCGTATCGAGCTCAGATGAGTCACATCCGGTAGCATTCAACGATGAGACAACCATAGATCTTGTTGGTCGCATCTGCAACCTAATCATCAGACACCTACCCACCGATCAGCAAAGTGCTATCGCTGCAGAATTATACACGCTGTTCCGTGGCACACCACAAACCGAACTTCCCCCTTTCAATACCAGCGCAAGCGTAGAGGCTGACAAGACTATGATCGTTTCGACACATCTCCTCGCGTCTTTCCGAAAAGACACAACACTTCCCTACGAGCTGCAGCTACTTGTTTCTTCTCTAGCAGAATACGTCCAGAAACCCACACTCTCTGTCCCGGTTCGATCAGCATCGCTTCGTCAAATGTCACTTATCATCAACAAGTACTACACATCAGCCGCACTCAAGACATGCATGGATCCTCTCATCGCAAATTTCGATCTTTTGAACCCGGAAAAGCTAGACCCGCCACGGATACGCATAATCTTTGCTTGTCTCAAGGGAATCGTACTACGCAGCAGTCCCGCGCTGAATACACTGTACCCAACACTGTTATCCTTATTGTCACACCCCAAGTACGGCAGCACGGTAGCCCAAGGCTTCACCACACTACTACAGCCCGACGATCTCCTGACCAAAGAGAACCATTGCCAGATCGTCGGTCTGCACAAGCACAAGAGCTTCGCATTGCTGGTTCCCAACATCACATCCGCTTTCCGCGACGCAGACGCTCAAACGAAGCCAAATTACTTGATTGCGCTCAGTGGAGCACTAAGATGGATGCCATTTGACATTGTAGTCGAGGAAGTCGGTCAACTCGTTACACTGCTCCTTCAATCCCTCGACCTCAAAGGCGTCGATGCCGTCAAAGAGGCAGCAATTGGCACGCTGACCAGCACACTTGCTGAGAAACCAGCTGTTCTTGAAGAGCACGCTGGCGCACTCATCTCCCGTCTTCTTGCCAACGCCATTGTGGTCAAGGATGGCAACACGGGTCCGCCTCCGCCGCCGAGCGTAAGGGTGGCGGCGCTCAAATGCTTATTCCTTGTAGCGGATAAGTTTAAAGAGGATACGCTGGTCAAGTATCGGAGGGAGGTGGTTAGAAGGTTGATTGCTGCGCTGGACGATGGCAAGAGAGAGGTTAGGACTGCGGCGGTGAAATGTAGAGCGAAGTGGCTGTTGGCTGATGAGCCGGACGATGAGTAGAATTATGCTGTAGCACTGATAGAGTATTTCTTTTTTATAAGAATTCACGAAATTTTAACGACGAGTTATTAGACGCGTAAGATGTTTGATTAAACTTTTCATTTTATTCTTCTTTTCTTCCCAGGGACGCAAGTTGTCCATACGACTCAAATGGTATAGTCTCGCTCAACATGTTTTTTCAACGCCAGGAATGGATTCCGATAAACGCCGCCCATGCAGTAAGTACGTCTTTGTACTCTTTATACTTTCATCTTCTTGGGTGTCTTCTCCTCCACCTCGTCGTCGTCGCTTGCGCTATCCTCGACACCAGCCTCCTCGTCGTCATCATCCTCATTACGAGCACGCTTGAGACCCTTCATCTTCCTTGTCTGCAGGTTGCCAAAGTCCTGCTTGCCGACGTGGACCTTGGCCGTCTTGTCACCCATGGCGTTCATATCAATGTTCTTCTTGGTGCGTGCCTCTGCGCCCTTTGGTGTCTTCATGGCCTGCTTGAGCATATCTGGGTCAGGGAACATTTCGCGACCGAGGGTAAAGTCCATGCGGGGACCCATTTCCTCGACTTCGATTCGTGGCAGCTTCTGGCCGGAGCGCTTTGTGCGCAGGAGGTAGAAGCGCAGGTGGATGGGCGGGCTGGACAGCTCGTCGGTAGGTTCTTCGGCCGAGATGGAGACGAGGTACTGTAGGCCCTCGACGTCGACTTCGTTTAGTTCTTGGCCCTTGAAGAAATCCAGAAACAGGCTCTTGGCTAGCGTATACTTTGTCTGGTTGGGGTCCTCGAAGACGGCGCCGTGGAAGCTAATCATTGGCTTGAGACCAATCGAAGGCTTCTTGTTCTTGAATTGCTGCAGTGTGCGGAATGTTTCTGGGTTGATGTAGAGCTCTAGCATATCGAGCATCTTGTATGAGAAGGTGCGGGCGAGTGTCAGGCAGTGTGGGCGCTTCTTCGAGTGTAGCGACAGGACAAGGAGCGAGGTATCGTTCTTCTGGGAGAAGAACTCGAGCGAAGAGGCATCCTCGAAGGGGTGAATGTCGTTCTTCTTGGTGAAGCGCTCGACTAAGGGACTCTTGATAGTGGTAAGATCGGCGACGGCAAGCTTGAGGATTTGCGACGTCTTTTGGCCCGAGACAAAGAGCGTCGTCTTTGGGTTCTCGTGCTGTTGCGGCTCGCGCTTTTTCATTTCGCGCTTGGCGCGGGCATTCTTGGGCTTGCTGGGGGAAGTTGTTAGAGATTATCAATCATTAGTCATCTGCGACTCAATCTACATACGCTTGCTTGAGCATATTGGCGGTGTTGTTTGTTTTGCTGCTTGCGGTGCTCGAGATGCTGGCCTGGAAATCTTGGCGGAAACAAAAAGTTCCAACGATAGTAGCCGGGGCCGGAGAAACAGTTGGGCCGCTCGATCTGATAACGCCGTTCATAGTGGGGTGGGCAGTTCCGCAGTTCGGCGCCCCTCTGACGTGATTTCCTCTGCAGGGCGGCGACTAAATATTAATCAGATTGACCTTGCGGTTATAGACTTGCTTTGTACTATACATCCCGCACTCGATTCACTGTCTATTCTGATCAATCCACATTTACTCTGCAATGGCTACCCTGCAAGAGATCGCCGACGAGACGGCGTTCCAGTCTACCATTTCCGCCCTCCCCGCCTCCACACTCGCCGTCATCTACTTCAACGCACCATGGGCAAAGCCATGTGAGCAAATGTCCGTTGTCCTCAAGACACTCGCCAGCACATACTCGGCCGACGCACCGATATCCTTTTTCTCTGTCAACGCCGAAGAGTTGCCAGAAGTCTCCGAGACGTACGACGTCACCGCAGTTCCATACATTGTCCTACAGAAGGACGGCAAAGTTCTAGAAACCGTCTCGGGCTCTGATGCCTCAAAAGTACGAACAGCAGTCGAAAAGCATGCGGGCGCTGGCAGCGGCCAGTCTAGTCTACCTCCTGCGCAGACCGTCACACGACCACAAGAAAATGGCGATAGTGCAGGCAAGAATCTTGCGGGCTACACGCCAAGCGCACAGGATCCCAAGACTGCGCCCGAACAGACTGCAGGCGAGCAACAGACAAGCAAGGAGGAGCTGCACCAAAGACTGTCAGAGCTCGTCAAGGCTGCACCCGTCATGCTGTTTATGAAGGGCACACCAAGCGCGCCCCAATGCGGGTTCAGCCGACAAACAGTTAGCATTCTTCGTGAAAAGGGAATTCGCTATGGATTTTTCAACATTTTGGCCGACGACGAGGTTAGACAGGGTTTGAAGGAGTTTGCCGATTGGCCTACATTCCCTCAGTTGTGGGCTGATGGCGAGCTTGTGGGTGGTCTCGATATTGTAAGTGTCCTGTCTCTACCGTGACGAGTTACCATACTCACTAGTAAACCACAGGTCAAAGAGGAGTTTGAGAACGACCCCCAGTTCCTCTCCCAATATGCTGCTAATGCACCCAAAACGACTGCCTAAATTGCAGCATGATGAGGTGGAACTAAAACAATGAGATTTGATGAGTTGATCACTCCCAAACGTAGGGCAATTTATAGGGACACATATGGAAATATAGGAGACCCATATTGCCCCGAATATGAATGAACTGAGCGCTGGGGCTGATATTGGATGATGGACGGCATGTTTTGATAATTGAAGGAATGGTCAAGAAGTGTGACGGTTGATTGTCTGGCCAGAGCAGAATACATCAGTTTCGACACCATGCCTAGTTTAGCAATACTTAACTGGGTGTAACAACAAACTATGCCGCGATCAGCCGATGACGACTTATTCTTACCCAGCAGGAATATACTCATTTCGAGTAGTAGTCCCAGAATTCATTGACAAGCTTCTGCGGTGCGGATCATGGACATGCCTACACCGCAGCTTACATAGATACTGATGTCAATCGCTATATCACGAGACGCACCCTGTGGCGAGACAGTTCTACAATTCGGACCTTTGGCAAGTCGGTTTTGCAAGTTCATATACCTGTAGTTGATACACAGCAATGTAAAGCTATTCTCCGACGACCAAAGAGTCTCCGAAGAGTATTGATCACTATCCCCATTGCGTAGCGAGAACCACGTGGATACGAGAAAAACGGCAGGTAACGTAGTGGGCTAATTGGTTAGTGGAAAACACATGTGACCGTGCAAGTGCCCTGGACTTACATCTACCAAACATAGCATTCGATCAATACTTGAGAAATTGCTGCCTTAGGTCTAGTAGCAACCGGTATCCACTTGACACTCCCTTTGAGCTTACTCATACCAACAACCACTGGGCGCAGGACGCATAATCTACTTGACGCCCATATCCCTGGCGAGCTGTAAAAGCCATTTCTCCCTACAGCTTTTGAAGGAGCTGAGCGGAGTGGAGAGCTCACAGAAGATTACATCCGCTGGCTTCGAATAGTCGATGATAATATCGACCTTTCCCTGACACAGTGCGAGCAAACCATATACCTTATCACGAGGACCCCCGCATTTCCGCGTAGAAAAGTCGGCTAACAATTTGTACAAACGCGCCTCGGGTGATGAGAAAGTAGTCTTGTAGATCCTGGGGATTCGCTCATGAAGAACATTACGCACTGGCTCCGGAATCGAAACGAAACCAACTTGACGACCACAAGATTTGAACCACCTCGGTACATCAGAAATGAATCTCAGTGTCCAGATGGCAGCCAGCGTGACGGCAAATGGACCGCAAGCAAACACTATGTCTCGGGCGAGGACAAATTCCTGGACAATCCAGAGTCGATCCCGGTATGGTTTGCGCAGCATGTTTTCGACGCTGCGGCGATTTTTGAGAAGTCGATTAAGGTACTCTTGCTGCTCCTTGTCCATAGCACGCCAAAGATTGATCCCAGAAAAGGTTGAAGGATAATTGTCATTGGGGAGCTTGCCCACGAACCGATTATCCGCTATGAGTCGCATTCCCCTGTAACTCTGCTCGTCACAGGGACCTAACCACGCAACAACACGCTGTGCTTGTTTATATATCTCGGCCATGCGCTTCACTTGGTGGGTTTTCTCTTGCTCGGATGACTGATTGATGCAAAGCTGATCGATCCACAGATACTTGGGATGGTATAGAGGACTGTCATTCTCATCAAGGAGCGTGATGCCAATCCGAAAATGTACAAGGAAGTCGGCCAGATTTTGCCGAATCTCAAACGATTCTTTATTCAAGGTGATGATACTTGTTGGAAGTGGAGGTCCCCATGTGTAAGACAAAGCCTCGTATAGAGGGCATTCATTGAGGTCAAAGCTGTCAAGAACGTAGCCACGCTGACTATTGAGTTGGTCCGAAAAGCGGAGTAGACGTATCTGGTTGCTGTTTCGATCAAGCGGCTCGTAATGGAACAGATTCATCATAGTGTAGCCGGAGAGCACAATGTCGTCCAGTTAATCACCTTGTAAAGTTTCTGAGCAATCGTGAAACTCGAATACTATAAATGTTGTGGTGGCTGTGCGTCTTGGTACGCAACAGCAGGCTCCAGTGCATTAGGCATGCAGGCGTCAACCCTATTGTAAGTTTTGCCATCTAGTTGTACGACAGCAGTCTACTACAGGTTTTGAAAACAATTGACAGAAGACTAGGTCAGCATAACGCGGTGGCAGGACTGGAGTCGGTTTTTAGCCAAGTACCGGCGCTCCGTCACGTGACGGGGCGCCTCGCAACCCAGGCATGGACGTTACTAGTGCAATTCTGAGCCGAAACGGTTCCCCGCCCTATCTAACCAGCTTCCCTGTCACCAACTGCCTTTGTCGCCATACCATTCCCCATTGTTTCTTGTCAAGCTCGGACAATATGCCGGACTCTAAAATACTCCTAGTCTACACCCATACAAAATCGCTTCTACTCATGTCTAACAGCACAAGTGTCCTGCAGAGAGAAAACATTAGGCCTACCCTGGCCCCCAGCTCCGGACTCCGAGCCCACCGCGAGTCGCAGCCCTCAATTACCCTGATGCCTATCCTCAACGCTATTGCGGCAGACTAAAGAAAAAATGAGCCGCATATATCCCCCGAAGCGGCCTTTTCCCCCCGTAGCCGTAAGACATACATGTGATGCTTGCGATTCGCCATAATTGCCTCTGTACAGTGAGAATTCCCATTCCCAGCCTTTCTCTTCCCCAACCCCCTCCCCCAAAAAGCCCCCACACCTCTTCAGTGTCTCTCCCCAAGCATGCTCCCCTCACAATCCGCCTCCAAAATACCCCCGGTAAAGCCCGACGACCGATCCTTCCCACGCATCCTCTGTCTCCACGGCGGCGGCGTCAACGCCGCAATCTTCGAAGCGCAAGCACGATGCCTGATCCGCCATCTGCAACACTCGTTCCGCCTCGTCTGGGTCGATGCGCCCTTCTTCTGCGACCCGCACCCCGACGTCGTCGACGTGTACAGCAGCTACGCGCCCTTTCGACGGTGGCTGCGCTGGCTACCCTCGCACCCTGAACTCGACGAGGAAACATGCATCGAGGAGATTGGCTACGCCATGCGCACCGCCATGCAAGACGACGACCAGGCGGGCGGCACGGGCGAGTGGGTTGGCCTCATGGGCTTCAGCCAGGGCGCAAAGCTATCCGCGAGTCTGCTGCTTGAGCAACAGGCCCGCGAGAACGAGGCGAAAAAGCGTGGTCCGGCGGCGCCGATAACACCAGGTCCCACTGGGTTTCCGGATGTTAAGTGGCGCTTTGGTGTCTTGCTGGCGGGCAGGGCGCCGCTGTCCAATCTCAATCCCAAGCTGCTGACTAGCAAGACGCTGGTGAGTGCGGGCAAGATATCAGAGGGGTTTGAGTTTTGCAAGGAGGTGGATGAGGAGGCGACGCTTAGGGTGCCCACGCTGCATGTCCATGGTTTGGCGGATCCGGGACTTGAATTGCACAGGAAGTTGCTGAATGAGTATTGTGAGAAGGGGACCGCGACGCTGGTGGAGTGGCCGGGCGCGCATCGGATTCCGATTAAGAGTGTGGACGTTGATCCTGTAGTCGCTGCTATTTATGATTTGGCTGAGAGGGTGGAGGTTAGTGTACTGAGGACTGTGTGACAGTGTTTGGGTTTTGGGGAGATAAAAGGTGCGCATGTGATGACTTCTTGTTTACATAAACATTTTTGCTTCTTTGCTTTGTGGATTATGGAAGGCGCATCTTGCAACGAAATTAGGAGATACCATAGATCAACTGTCTTTATCCTCTCGTTTTCTTCTTCACTTTGTCAATATCGGACTAGGCTTTTCCAGTTTCGCCAATGTCGAATTTCTTATCTTTTCTCCCACGAGATGATCCTAGCGTATACAGCATCATTGTGTTTTCTTACCGTCAGAAACGTTTGATACAATACCTCAATTTCCCAATGAATATATTTCATTTCGACCGGTCCACATACCCTCCTCTGGGTTATCTCAAATCCTTATCAAACACTCCCTGCCATCCAAGTCACATACACAAGCCCCAGCCCCATCTACCCGAACCTATCAACTTACCCCGATAAGTACCCACTGACCCACACACACTACATACCCGACACTCTGGATCATCGTAGAAGAGAAGGAGAAGCAAGACCGGGTATGCGACTCATCCACAACCGGCCCGGTCCGGTTCGAGGCTGATAAGGTCGACCGTGCCGGTTTAATGCAGAACGTTGTTTTAGAGGTTAGGATTGCTCACCAGGTTGAAGGGATATGATAGGTGTGTTCGGTTTGGCCGTTGGCCAATGGAGGTTGGAGGTTCCAGTTAGGTTTAGGAGATCGTGATTAGTGATGTAGACGCATTGATGTCAGGCTCAAGAGCTAGGTTGATATCGCAGGGAGCTCAGGAGTGTTTTGGTGATTGCACTTGGCTTCTTGGTATCTGTAAAGGTAGGGTGGAGTTTATATCTGGATTCGTGGATATGCGAATATAGAATATATATTTACGACCAAGTCAGATTGGTGTGTAGACAAGGCTATGTTTTCTACAAGTCTATTCTCTTTAAAGCTAGGATTTGGATCGGTTGTTGGAAATATCAGTCAAGATATTCCAAGTCGGACCAAGATTCGGTTAACTGTATCGTCTGATGAATGAGCTCTATAGTTTTGACACTTCTTCTCATGTGACGCTAGACTAGACTAGATACTAGACGAAAGGGTGTGAAGACGTAAGTGCCAAATGACAGCATGCGGGATTCGATGCAAAAGAACGGCGCATAGAAGCGGAGAGCGATGGTATCCATGCATGGTGTAGACCGAAGGTCGATAAGAACCAAGAGACCTCCTCAGTGTATAACGTATGGGTTTGGATCCGAATGATATGGTGTGATGTATGAACCCCAAAACAACAGTTTTCATGTATTCACATTGCTGCCAACCACAAACGACATGCTAGGCTGGCGCCAAATAAAACAGGAGGACGACCCCGCAACGGCACTGTCGAGGCAGTTTCGTTTCCATCTTGTAATGAGAAATAAAGACATCAGGGTTGTCAGCACTTCCCTGCTATCGGGGCTGCACTATGTCTTTGTTGGCATGTTCGTAAGCTAAAGGAGGGGTTATCAGACAGGGGAGGGCCTTTGCTGGCTAGTCATGGCGAAAGAATGTGGCACGAGTGCACACTGATAGTTTTCTGTAGGTAATGGCATGCAAAGCATCTGGGCGGGTGACGAGTACGGTGTACGTTAGGTGGTCGCCTTCCTAAGGGAACCGGGAATAGACGAGGCGTTGGCGAATCGGCGTCGAAAGCGTTCCGCGTCGAGAAAGTAGCCGCCGCATATCTTCGGCTCCGAGCGCTTCTTGAGATGCCGCACACGCCCTATGAAACTTTGTACATAGCCCGCAATGCCGCGGACACTTTTATACCCGCTACAGCGCCTTCTCAGTACGTGGCCTCATCCGCGTCCGGTCCAATTGACCTCACACATCCCCAAGGGACAAGCCTGAGTGCGAATACTCGAGCCGTCGCTGCATCCATTGCCCGCCCCGCGAACCCCACCCTACGCAACCTGCATACAACAGCACGACTCACCATGGGTGAATTCGACCAGTACTCTGCCATGGGAAGCAAGACTGTACCCAATGGCATACCATCCGACGGCACAGCCTGGGGTAGTGAAAAGAACCCGGCCGCCTTTGACTTGCGTTCAGATGTGCACACAACCCCTACCATGTCCATGCTCAGGGCCATTCAGCAATGCACCCTGCTCGACGATGTCTTCATGGAGGATCCCACTACACTCTCGCTTGAGCGCTTCATTGCTGACTTGAGCGGAAAAGAAGACGGGCTTCTCGTTCTCTCGGGTACCATGGGCAACCAGGTAGCATTCCGAGCACACCTTACCTGCCCTCCACATGCCGTGATTGTCGACCGGCGAGGGCACATTGTCAATTACGAGGCAGGAGGTGTGGCGACCTTGTCTCAGGCCATGGTCCAGTCTCTCGACGCGACAAACGGCACATACCTCACCTTGGAAGATATTCAAAAGTACGCGACGCTCTCAGAGGACGTGCACTCTTGTCCAACGCGCATGATTTCGCTCGAAAACACGCTAAACGGTGCCATCATGCCTCTTTCTGAAGTCAAGCGGATATCTGCTTGGGCACGCCAACATGGCATCATTATGCATCTGGACGGTGCACGCTTGTGGGAGGCTGTTGCTGCAGGCGCGGGTTCGCTAAAGGAATATTGTGCCGAGTTCGACAGCATCAGTCTGTGCATCAGCAAAGGCCTAGGTGCGCCTATTGGAAGCCTGCTTGTTGGTACACAAGCTTTCATCAAACGCAGCCGCTGGATCCGCAAGTCGATTGGCGGAGGGCTGCGTCAGGCTGGTGTGGTCGCTGCTCCGATGCGCGTTGCCATTGAAGAGACGTTCCTTGGCGGGAAGCTCGCACAATCGCACAAGAATGCGAAGAGAGTTGCGAAGATATGGACCGACCTAGGCGGCAAGCTGCAGTACCCGGTAGACACAAACATGGTTTGGTTGGATCTGGCGGCCCATCAGATCGAAGGCAACAGCTTCATCGAGCTAGCGGAAAAGTACGGAGTAAGGACAGGCAGTGGTAGACTGGTGATACACTACCAGATTGGAGAAGAGGCGATTGAGGCGTTGCAAAAGGTCTTTACTGAGTTGTTGACGGGCAAAGAGTCGGCCGGCAAGCTTGCCGAAGCCCCGCATGACCCGGAGGATTTGAAGCTGAAGGGCAAAGGCGTCGAGTAGACGGCTTTGCAGCCACAATTGTTTATTAGTCATCGGATTCATAGACCAATTAGATCATGGCGCTCAGCCACGCAGCCACACCGATCTCCAGTACCTGCATGGATAGCTGCCGCGTTATACCGAAATCGCCCTGAATCTGGGTACCGCCAACGCTCCCAAGACTACGCTATTACGTTCGACCTTGA